ACATTCTTTTTGGTAAATGAATATGTTCATTCATTTATTGTAAAAAAAAAACATTTTAGTACATATAGCATTAAAAGGTCTCACAGGTGGTGTTTTAACAGCATATAAAATCGTAAACCTGACTATTTTTTCACAAAGTAGAATCACAACACTCAGTTTCCAGTCAAAGAAACAGAAAAAGATCATAACACTCACACACGCACACACACACTATCATTCCAAAAAACCACAGGCTGCTCCCTCCTCCTCTGGGCAGGGGGTAAAGTGATGGGTGCAGAGATAACTTGAAACCAGGATAAGTCCATGGCATACAGGACCCCCCCACCGCTGTGTGGACTGGCACTGAGGACTGATTCTATTGTGGGATTCAAATACAACAACTTTAGGGTGTGGCAGAGGGTAATATTGGTAATATTAAGTATAAACTTTATATGGTACATCTGGAGTCCATCTTTGGGAGAACCTTGTGTTTTCCTATCTGGAAACTGCTGGTGAAGGCATCAAAAAGTTCTATTCAAAAACAACCAAGAAGCCACACATTCATTATCTGCCCAAAAAGATTCCCAACATGTATTCAATTAGATTTTTCTCTAAGGTCAAATAGGTTTTGCTCAAGTACCCTCCCAACTAAGGATGAAGTGATCAGACAGTCCCTCTGACATCACAGATCCTGGTGTGGAGATGTTCTCCTGAGTGACAGTGGACTCAGCTTCTGCCTGCAGAATGAATATGAGGGAACATAGAGATCGCATATGGAGGTTGAGGAAAGCTCGTTTGCAGAAGCAGTCCATCAGTGCAAAACATGACACCAGTCACAAAGCTACAGGGCGGCTTTGCTCTCCTAATGACACCATCCTCAGAAGCTCTGCCTGCACACTGAGTTGAGGAAATGATGATTCAGATGTTTACTTTTTCCATGACACATCTACTGTAATGGGAACTTAAACACTGTAGCTACTCTTCTTCTGGGACTGCCTTTTTTCCCCTTAAAGTCTCCAAAGGAGGAGCTTCCTGCCTCAGAGGGAGCAGAAAACCACCTTCTGTTCCTCCAGGATTCTTCTGGCCCCAAAACTCTGGTATAACCTCCAGCTGATCCAGAAAGCTGCAGCAGAGTTCTGACCAGAGTCCTCCAGAACACAAGCTAAAGTTCTGCTCTGGTGGAGGGAGCAGCTCCAGACCCCCCCACACCTCTGAGGATCCAGTCTGGTTCAGGAAGCAGACCCCCCCCCCCTCCTCCTCTTTCCTTTCTGAAAAATTGCTCAGGGACCCTGAATCACCCAATAGACCTGAGGTGCACCTCTCCTCCCTAGTGGGGGGGTTAGGTTGACCTAACCTGGTTTCGTGATGAAACCCACACAGGTGTCCAGTTTCCCAGGTGGTGGCTCAGTGGTGTCGGAGCTGAATCGAAGCAGACGGATGGAAGGAGTCAATGAAAGCAGAGGTTTGGTTGAAAGTGCCACAGCATGGATCCTACAACCCCATACATCCACCACGGCTAAAGCACAGGCGCCTCAGATCTCACTCTCATAAGTGTGCATGTGGGTCTTGAGAGAGAGGATTTCAGCGTAGCTCCGAGTGGTTCTGCGGTACAGGTCCAGGCCGGTCAGGATCTCCACGTCTCTCACCCGAGCCGTGTGCATCTTCATCAGGTCCTCCACCCATCGGGACTCCTCCTCTGAGCTCTGTGGTGGAATGAGGAGCACACCGAGATTCAACACAAAGCTGAAGCGTTTAGTGATGCCCCATGCTTAATGAGGCCCAGCCGGTTCCCCACACAGCTCCATTCCTCAAACTGTCCCACTTCTGTAAATACTGAGACATGGGGGCCCACCAGGGCACCGCTGATCCACATGTGGGGCCAGTGCCTGCTGTGGATGAGGAGATGGAAATAAGGGCTGCCCTGTGGGCTGGTCAGCATCATGAGCTCACAGCAAAGAGACCCCTGGCTAAATTCCCAGAGGTGAGGTCTGTATGTTGTCTCCTGTGTGTGTACATTCTTTACAGCTACGTCTGCTTCTCCTCATCCAAAAACATGGATGTGGGGTTCAGTGGAGAGTAACTTTTCCCCAGGAGTGAGCACGCCTTTAAACCGTTAGCGACTTACTTCTAAAGCTCATCTGACATTTGTTTAGGAGTCCTGAAATAATGACTTCCCCTAACCGCTTCTGTCAGTGAGGGGAAACCCTCTCTGTTGGCTGAAGATAGAGTTCCCTCTGATGTGTGGGAAAAGTGTCAGGACGCGTTGGGCAGGACGCTACTCACGTTGCAGCTCTCCTCGTTGTTGGGCCGGTGAGGCAGGATGAAGGCGGCGCTGCTGAGCGGGCCGCCGCACGAGTCTGCAGCCTGAGTGAAGTCCAGGCAGCTGGTCAGGACCAGGAAGTAGTGTGTGGGGATGGACACCGTGTCCCTCAGGGAGCTGGAACAGAGAGCAGCTTCTGCTCAACAAGTCACTTTGCTCCATTTTCTTTTCATTCAGGGTTCTTTGTAACATCTCTGCCAGGTCATAAAGTTTATATTGTGTGTGTGTATGTGTGTATATATACAGTATACGTATAAATGTGAATATAAAGCACAAAAGAAGGACGTGCAGCTTGACACTTTACAATGAAAGCTATCAATGTTCCTACTCTTTAATCTTCTCAGTTGAGTCTCTGACTCCATTATAATCGTAGTCAAATATGGGTCCACTGAGAATGTTCACTCCATTCCTCTCAGTGGCATACTTCTTCACGAGCACTCTCTGGAAGTAACTCCATATTCCTAGGTGGAGAGGAAGATGCCAGGGCCATGTGAGTGAAAGGGACAAATGATGAGTAGGAAGAGTGAGAGTGAAAGCTGAAGCCTCTTACTTTTGAAAGCAGGATACATGGGGACCGTGTTGGTGATGAGGAGAGCCTCATTTCTTTTGTCCAGGTTGGAAGACAGCCCTGTGAAGACAGAACCATTTGGAACAAGCACATAGTTTTTAGACACAGTGATGCTTGAATGGGGTTGTGATTTTTGCATCCCTGCTCTTTTCCATCAGAGCCTTGAGCAGCCTCCCTGATGCTTCTGGTGGCCCACTCACCGGGGGGGTACAGGAAGGCGTGCGTGATGTGTTTGTCTGCTCTGTAGCTGGTGCAGGACTGGCTGTGAGCTGGAGGGATTCTAGCGTCAGCTCTCACACAGCTGGACAAAGCTTCGGACAGGGGCGACGCCTCCACCTGGAGGAGCACACATTCACACCAGCGTTTAGGTCTGGGAGCTGTTCGCAGTTACTGCAGACTCTTCCTGCACCACAGATATTTCAGCATTTAAGCCTCAGGCGTTTAAAGCCAGACAAACAGCAGCTTCTGAACTCTCACTGAGAAGGAGGCCCTTTCTCTTTACTGGACTAGTTAGATAAAGGATTTGATTCTGGGCTTCTTCTACTGGGAGACTGTGGAGCAGACACACAGTGGGCTATCTCTGCCTTTGCTCAAATGGAGCCCGTTTGATTCTGTTAAATGCAGAATCCAGAAGCAAAGAGCCCAGCCCAGGCAGTACCTCTCTGCTGACAGTGTACGAGGTCCACAGAGGCATAGACAGAGCTTCACTGTAGCCACTGATGTAGTCACTGTGGTGGAGGATGGAGTACTTGGTACGGAAAAGGACAGCAGGCCGGCCATACGGCAGGTTCCTGCTGTCTGAGGGAGAAAGAAATAGGCAATCTGAGCATCACCAGAACAGTCATCATTTAGCACTTTCACTGAGTTAAATCTGAATCTAGAGGAATCTGCTGAAAGAGAAGGTCATTTCTACATCGGGTGATGGACAACTGACCATCAACTGCTTGCTTCAATCGCTGGTTTAGCTCCTCCACTTTGTTCTGTAAGAGACAGAGCCACAGTGACTCCAGGTTATAGCCGCGCACAAGGGTGACTTTCAAACCTCTCTGGCCCCTACTTTTTACACGCAACTGCAAAAAGATCGGAGATTGAAACAATCTCTTGCCAGAGATCTATATGGGAATCACAAACACAGCAGAGAAGAAGTTAAAAACAGAGCTGGACCCAATTCACCTTTTGGATTGTTCCTGAACTCATTTACAAGTAGCAAACGACCCAAAGGTGAACTGGCTGCAGCTCTGCAGCAGAAAATGGGAAAACAACCATTTGCAACACATTTCTACAGAACAAAACGGTGAGATACACATAATGTCATGATCACACAAGGGAGTCCTGTGTAAAAAAAAGATCAATGCTAAACAAAGCATTTCTCCATAATGCCCAGGGATGGACAGAGATGGCTGTGGGCACGTCATGTTTTACACACAGGACTTCATGATGCCAACAGCAAGCTAATGACAAAGGGTGGTAAACTTAATAAAAAAATGCAAGCATTATGAATATCACTGGTCAGAGGGAATGTTTAACAAAACAGTCTGCAAAACCTCAGGCAGTCAAAGAAAGCTGGAGTTACATTCAGAATCTCAAAGAACAGCAGTCAATAAAAAAATGCTCTCTATACATCTATACATACATACATACATACATACAAATATATGTATACATACACATATATGTATACAGATATGCATATATGTACACACATGATATAGTAGTCATGAAATAGGACAGGCTTTGGCCCATCATACTATTAGAAGAGGGACGTTTGTCCACATTTAAACTGACATCCTTTAATGATGATTGTAGGCTTATGACTGAAGGGCTGGTCAAGAATTGTGTCACAGAATTGATGTGTAATCTTTATGAATAATCAAATGGCCTTGCTGTACATCCTCAGAGATGTATGTCCCCATGATGTAATCATCTCACACTGAGAGGTATTTGTCTTTCATTCTTTCATTACTCAAACCAGGAATCCTCACAGAACATGATGTTTTCTCTCCGAATACGTCCTCCAGTCTCTGCAGTCTGCAGCAAGCTCAGACCGGGTCTGCCACTAAGCACCATGGCTGACCTTTTCATCACAGCTGCAGCCCAAGTCATCCGTTACCATAGGAACCAGAGCAGGGGCTGTCGGCCTGGATACTTCCTCTGGCATGCTGGGCCTGAACGGGGGGCTTCTTAGCAGGTGGTTCAGACTGCCATGGGTTCCGTTATTGGCAGCTGGTTTCAGACCGAGAAGATCTGAAATTGGGAAAAAATTGTCTGCTCAGGAACTAGAAGAAACAAGCTGTGATTTATTGGTTCATGTACTTGAATGTCAAACTATTCTGGTCATAGAATCTTATGAAAACCATAGACCAGATTATCTACTATCAAATGGATGCATAGACACTCTTAAACACCCAAATGGACAGAAAAATACAACTTACCACACATTATGTTATACAGCTCAATGTTCTCAAAGGCTGGAACTTTAGTCTTGAATTTAAATGTTGGTCCATAGCCCAAAAATATAGTCTGAAAACAATCAACACTGGTCAATAAATGAAGCAAAGAATTTTGTTTTCACATCATAACTCATCTAATCACACAGCTGATTCAAGCATTTTAGAATATGGCTTTTCTTGTTCCATTTGTTGAAAACTCTTGTAGCGTGTATGGAATGTTGTTATGTTATCAGAGCCTGGCTGCTGGTCCTAGAGGATAGAGGTAGTGTGAAGCAGCATCTGCATCTCATGGAGAATACCTGCATACTGTTGATCTTATTGTCGTATCCATGGTCCCCCTGGAAGCCACAGTGTCTCCTGCCTTCAGGAGCTCTCCTGAAACAACCGTTGGACAAGGTTTTTTTAAACTGACCCTGTCAGTTACCTTCAGGAGACACAATTTTAATCCACGTGCATAGAATCACACTACAAATGTGTGTTTTGAATGCTGCATGAAGTGGTGTTCCCACAAGGAGATGTGATAAAGAGAAAACTGCTCCAGTACCTCCATTAAAAATGTCACATCTGCACTGACTGAACACAGTTTTAGAACAGAATCAACCACTCAAGCTCAGTGACATCAGCCCAACTCTGTCATTCCAGACTAAATGTGCTGGGAGGAAAGAGCAGGAACACAGCGGGTTTCCATTTTTGTGATTAATCACAATGGGAAATGGTAATAGATGGCACCTATACAGATTCTCTACTCTAGATATCCACTCAGACAAAAACTTGAGAGGTTCTAAACACAAATAACCATCATTTCATTCCATTTGCAAACAAGTTTTACGACAAGGTTTGAGGAGCAGTTTCCCATGATAATATGATTTCACCCACGCTCACAGTGTCTGATTCTCTTCACACCACTGTTGGACTGAGAGGAAATCATTTGCTCATTAAATCCTGTGATGACATGGTGTCCTGTCCAGGATGTCCCTGTCTCTTCCCCAGTTCCTCCCATGCCCGTCCCATCCCCCTGTCAGGTATAAGTCATAAATAAATAATAAACAACTACAGATCCGTTTTAAGATGACCAAACGCTTTGATGCATGACTGCAACATCAGTCCTCAATAAGAAGGTCAGGAAACTGCTGGTTAGGCTTCAGCTAAGGGACCTAAGACAAACAGCAGTTTTCAGCCATAAGATGTCCACAAACTGAATTGAGCTTCTAGACAAACTTTCTTTAGACAATCATGCTGAGGAGCACTTGGCTCAGATGCATCCTGGGGTCTCTGACAGACAGGAAGCAGGGATGCACCAGAGGGCTTCCTCTGCACATGTGGGTCAGGTCCATCAGGGGAGGGGTGTCCTGAAGTGCACGTGCCTGCTGTGGTGCTGTGTTGTACCTGGCAACATGCCACTTCCTCTCCACCAGCAGGTGAATGTCCTCGATGCGGCGGTTGTTGGCGTAGTGCAGTCTCTTGGGCAGGTGCTGTTTCAAGTACGGTTTGAAGTGCTGCTCTGCTTTCCTGCACTTAAAGACAAAAGCAGCATTCATCTGTCAAAGATGGGACAACTCTGAACCCTGTTCCTCTACAGGTGAACGAACAGGCCAACAGAATTAGGATTTTCAAATTCAACATGCCACTTATTCACACAGCATGTGTTTCCATTGAGTGTAATGTTTTGGAAGAGATTATAATACTTACAGTGAGATTTGAAACAACAGTCTTTGGATCATCTGAAAAAGAACAGTGGTTACACAAAACTTTGTCCTCCACATATAGTCCAGTCGACTGTAACAATCTACTTAAAAAAGATCATTGACCTCATCTGATCAGCTTTAATTTGCAACGCAACACAACACCTGTTGTAAAACCAAGAGATATTTAAACACAACGCTGTAAATAAGAAAATTTGTGAGACGGAGAGAGCACAGAAAAGTCCTGAGATGCACGCATTATTTTTCTATCAGGATTTGTCATAAAAAGCCAGCTGACAAAACAGGTGAATCAAAGTAAAGAGAGAAGATAAAGATAAAGATGTGGGTGTGGTGTATCTGCTTCTGCTGTAACAACAATAATCCCTGAAGGGGGATTGTTCTCTGCCTGCAGAAACTCTACTGTGGTTCCCAGTCAGAGAGACACTATTTAGAAGAGGAGTTGCTTAATCTTTCCTCAGTCTCCTGTAAGACTGCATTTTAGGGACCTCCGAAGTTAAATGTTGCCACTCTGAATCAAGTTACTTTTTACCTTGACATCATGATAAACATCAGGGTCTTTGTGCCTTCACAGAAAAGCTTTTGTTGGATTTTTCCTGATGTTGGACCTAATCTCTGATCAACTGATGACCAGGGGCTGTAGCAGGCCACTGCCCAGACAAAAGCACGACACACAACAACAACAGTAATGATCCTCTCAACTGCTCTCTCACATTTTGGGTTGTTGGGGTATCTGGAGCGGATTCTGCCGAGGGCCCCCGGGACGAGGATGATGTCATCTACAGTGGACAGATAGTTAGTGAGGAACTCGGTGCGATCGCAGTGGGCCTCTTCCATACCTGGCAACACACAAAGGGTCAGAGGGATTTCCTATTAACACCAAACGTTAGGGTTAGATTTCTTCCTCCGTTTTGGTTTGGGAGACCAGCCAGCTGAATATCCAGAGCTGCTGAGGGGTCAGGCTGATGCTGTAAGTACAGGAATAAAGTTCATTTCTGAAATGAAGAGCTCTGCAACCCCTTTTGGAGTTCTTTGAAGTGAAGAGCCCCCTCTCAGAGCTGGTCACAGCGTCCAGCTACTGGCCCCCCCCAGCAGACCTGCTGTGGCTGTGGTGCAGTCTGGAGTCCGCTTCAGGCTGAGGTTCAGGATGTCTGCGTGTGTCTGGCTCCTTACCATGATCCCCCACCAAGATGATGTTGACACATCGATGCAGTTTCATCTGCTTAAGGCCGTCCATCAGCTGGCCCACGGTCCTGTCAATCACCCGGAGAGGGCTGTTCAGCTGGAACACAGAGAGGAGTGGGCTCTACACACATATCCATCAGATGCTCTAGTATAAAAGTACGTGCAGCCACACAGTACTCACATCCGCGCTCTTGGGCCCCATTTTGTGTCCATATGCATCGGGTTGTTCTGAGTGCATGGCGTACACATACGGCCTGAAACAAGACACGGGTCAAACTGAAGACGTCTGGTCATCAGCTGTGGTCCACCTCAATCTCACTGCTTTACCGAGCAGCATGGGACGGTTGGAAATGGTCTTTACAGAATTAATTAATACAAATCCATCTTTTTACATGTTAAATTTCCATTTTCAGTGACAGACAATGCAGAGGGAGAGCCGGTGAGGTTCTGTCCAGAGGGTTCTGAACAGAGAACATGGGGCGTGCGTGTTTTTCCTGACTGAGTTCTGGGCCAGTGTTGGTTTCATCTGAATGATTTCACAGTCTCTGACAGGCGGGGAGGGGATGAATTCAAATGTACCTCTCTCCTTCAGGGAGATGGAGCCACTGCAGCATGGTGAGCACTCTCCTCTCTGAGGGGATGGCACTGGAATCACAAATACACAAACCACACATCCTCATGCCCCCACTGTCCACACGTCACATTTCAGGAGTAGACCAGTCATTAGTTTGGGAAAAGCTTATGTCAGGTTTATAATATCCAAGACTGCAGGACAAAACTTCATATACATCTATTTTTTCAATAATATCTGGGTTTATAATTTCCTAAAAGCATATAAAAAAAGAGTATATAAAGTAATCTTCATCACAGTTCAAGAGCTCACTTGGGGCTTTTTGGTTATGAGTTTTGAATGAGTCCCTAAATATGTTCAATAGTCTTTGCCCTGTGTTTCACTGATCATCTCAGGTGGGAGTACTCTGGAGGACTGATGGGATGGATGGCTTCTCTATGCCCTAAACCAAAGACATGGCACACCACTGCAGAACATTGTGGTGGTGATGCCAGCTGGGGGCTTCCTTGAATTCTTAATAAACAACAAACAAAAAACGTATCAAAAAGGACTTCCTCTGTAAACAATCCAAGCAGACAATGATCTCTTCACCTTCTCCGTATCTCTTATAAACACAGAAGATGGAAACATAAAACTCATATTTGGACACATCCATATTTCCCATTGTGGTTTCCTCTATTGATAAAGCAATGTGTGTGTCATGTCACCCCATGATGTGACTGAAGAATGTAAAGGGGGTTTACCATCTGCTTTTTAATTCTTTGTGAAGCACTTTGAATAGTCTTGTACATGAAATGTGATGTACAAATAAACTTGCCTTCCCTTACCAACCAGGTAAACTACACTTAGTCGTCATTTCTAAAAGATGCTCCCTGTAGTGATGGTTCCGGTCAGTTAGTGGGACTATCCAGCTGAACATGTGTGCATGTGTGGACTTACACAGGCCAAAAGAAGGTAGCTGCCTTCACTCCCTGCTTGAGTGCTGTGATCCAGATCTAAACAAAAAGTTGTTATTGTTTCAGTCAAATCCAAATCCGTAACCTTTAAACCCAACACCAACACGGGCTGTAGATTGGTGATGGCCTGAACAAAGATATCGGTAAAGCCAGAAAAGCAGAAAAACAGAAAAACATTGGCACACCTTTCTTCTTTGAAGAAAAACCTAGTGTCTAGAGACTGGCCTTGGATTTCACTAAGCCTTCATGATCATATATTAACACCCAACCTTAACCCTGATCCATCATTTGCTCTGCAGTCAGCTTTAAAAGAACAGTCTTCTCTTGACTCACCGGTTGCCCCCCCCACCACCGGTGGTTCAGTTTTTCCCGGCCTCTCAGGTTGAAGGCTGCATCGAACACTGGGTCAAACATGGAGTTCCCAATGATGCCGTGAGACTCTGGGTACAAACCCTTCAAATGCAAAAGGGTAGAGGCTCTCTCAAAATCATTCATAGCACCACATGACCAGTTTACGCTGTGTTCCCAAAGGATACCAGCGAGTGCACGGCTCATTCTCTGGCTCAGAAAGCAGCTTTTCTGGGAGCATTTTCAGGTGAATAAAAACAATACATTTCTGTGTTATTTAATTTAAGCTTGGAGCTTCTCTCTTCAGTTTCCTGCGTCCTACTGCAACCTCCCTTTGCAGACTCCCGTTTGTTCTCTACCAGTGTCTGTCTGTATTTCAGAATATTGCATAATGCATTTTGTTTAATCATTTTCATGGAAATTGAGGGGGGGTCTCTGTATGAATTAAGACAGTCAGGGGGTTGTGACTGTATAAAACTTAATTAGATTCTAATTGACTGGAACTGGACTTTTGTGAGTGTAAGACTATGGTTACTCTCACAGCATCTAACCTGTCAGTCTGTTGAGAGGTGGGCTTACAGACACTGGCCTACATTACTTCCAGGGTACATTGAGATTCTAAGATCTGGAGGCACATCACAACACACTCACCGTGGCCAGAGAGTAAAGGTTGGGAAAGGTTTTGGATGGGTAAACTGGCCTCATGTAAGGAGCATGGGTCCCACATGTTCCTGAAAAAGACAAAACTCTTACTTTAGCCCATAACCACTGAGATCCCCACAAAGGCCCACATGTCCCCGTTCCAGTGACTGTGACCCTGGTTCTTGCCCCTGCAGACCAGGCCTGCGTGACTTACTGAGTTTGTCTATGTTGGGTATGACCGTGTTGCCTCTCTTCACATAAGAAGCTCGGAATCCATCCACTGACAATATAATAAGTGGTAGACGCACAAACCTGCACAAGAAACCAAAGAGACCAGGTATAAAATCAGACTTTCTCAGTTCATTGCTCCTCTCTCCTAATGAAAGGTTTCAACATACCCAGCAGGACACTCTGGGGTCCGGATCTCCTCACATTCATCCTGTAGCCAGGAGGTGTCTCCTGAGGACCAACCACCAGAAAGAGCATTACTATTATCAATGACTGGTGTACTCTTATCAGTCTTAGCAACAGCACAGTAGTGAGGACATCTACTCTCATAATGTACAACTTGTAAACTATTTAATATTGACAAGGTATTTACTGTGAACAAAGCTAAACTCTCATCATCTTGTTAGGCTGTTCCAATTTGTGTCACCTGGCAAAAGATTGAGCTCTAGTGGAAAATATCATTTTCTCTCTGACTCTTGGGAAGTAGGATAACTGAATTACAAAATTTGATGACTATTTCCATCATTTACTATATTTATTTTTTCCAACTTGGGGGCTGGAGTCTTTCCCAGCTTTAACTGAAAATGACTTCACTAATCCTCCCTCAGTGTCAGTTTAGAGTCTCCAGTTAACAGAACATGTTTGTGTAGGACTGTGGGAGGGAGCTGGAGGCAGGATCTGAACCAGGAGCCCTCCACTGTGAGGTGATGGAAACCACCAAACCACTACGTGACCATTTACCCTGTATGTGAACCTCTACTGGAACAGTAAAGCAAAAGAAATTCCTTATATAATATTAAGCATGAGAGGTCCAGCTGAAAACTAAAGTTCAGTGTCAATTGATGTCAATAAGGGCAATAATTCTTTCTTCAGAAAATGTTTCACAAATAACTCAGTTGGGAAGAACATCTAAATAGGCTTAACATAACTAAATTGAGTTCATGTTAAGAAATACCCACTGACTAAACCATACAAATATATCACCATTACCTCCCATAGTATTAGCATGCTGTAATATATCAAGATGGTGTGTAGTTTCTTAAACTAAGTTTGCTTTGGACCGTTTTAATACCAACCTTTGTTATGAACATTCCTGGGTCAGACTGGCCTGGAATGACCCTCAATGAGTCTGCTGTACACACATTTGGTTTCCAGCCAGGAAACAGCAGTTTGGACAGTCTAATACTCTGACAGCTATATACTAACACTCTCTGAACTCTGTATCGTTGAATTCGTTGTATCGTTACTAGCTGTGTGAGCATGGCACAGGAGCACGGTAGATTTCAGAATGGATTTTAGAATGGGATATGAATCCCAGCAGGTACGGGTTCTCTGCTGGAACTCTGGCTTCCTCCCACACTTCAGAAACATCCCGTTAGGTAGACTGGAGACTGTAGATTGCTCATAGGAAGGAGTGTCCGTGGATGTGTGTGTGGCCCTGTGATCTGGGATGGACAAGTGTAACACGGCTCCTCTCTCCTCCACCAAAAGCTGGGATAGGATACACAGGGGTCTATGACCTCTGAGTGCATAGTTGTGCTCATTCCAGAGACCCTACCTGTTGCTGTGAAGAGTACTAACATGCAGCTAAACTAGCAGATCATTCAAACAATCCATTCTACTTTTCTTAGTGTGTGTGCAACACACAACACAGTGCACCAGTTGCCTCCAGTGTCTGCACTCCACCAACTGTGGTGCCAAACCAACTCCTTTTCTGTTTGGTTTTTTGTCTTTCCAACACTTTCAAATTTGCTTTCAAATGCAAAAATTGAGTTATGAGGCCAATATGTTGGTGCAAAGAGTTGGTGCAATGGATTCATGTGTTCATCAACACACACAACTTCCTGGTTCACCACTAATATGATACATAAAACCATATCTTTGCTTAATCTCATCACTGACACAGAAATCTGCTTGTCTTTCAACCAGTTTCCTCAAACTAGATTCATGCAGATTCCACTGACTGAGATCTAGCACTTTATTATTGAAAACTGGAAGATACGTCCAAACTGCTGGATGCCACTCAAAGTTCCAAACCTTTGCACAGCTTCTTGTAGTTGGTGCAGCAGTCCCCTCGGGCGGGGCAGTCGTCGGAGCAGTGGCAGGCGTGCGGCTCCTGCCGGGCCTCCCCACACCGGTCCTTACTGCACTCGTACCCCCCACCTGCAGCAGCACAGACGCAGCTCACCTCACGGCCCACAAGCTCCTCACACAAGACCCAATACGAACCATCACCCAGGCATAAGCTGTGCTGGCGCGGTACCCTCCTGTGGCTGCTGTGTGGGGCCTACATGGACTCCACATTTCTGGACATTCCTCACTAAGTGACAGAGGTTTTTCTGGTGGGATTTCACACTGGCAGTTAGAAACACGTCCAGAAAACAGGAATTATGACCGTGGCCAGGCAGCGGTGAGCCCAAAAGTGCTAGTTTGAAGGAGAAAGCATAAAATCAGACCACCAACATGGAGTGTAGCAGGGGGAAATATTGACACAGCAACCCAAAGACGCTGGAATAACAAACACACACCGCCTGCTCGATATGTAAGAGGAGCCCCTCTCTGCCCTGACTGCAGCCCGACAGGCCGGCGGGGGGAGGATTTCTGGATGTTTGCATGGCTTGATCAAAGACAACGACTTGTCAAATGAAAACAGCCGTCTGTACTCATTCTGGCCGAACAAACGGCGGCAGATTATATCTGTGGCGTGCTGATCAAACTCTCTTTGCTCCATCAGCAACATGCACTGCTGGGATGAATCCTGATCCTAAAGCAATCAGATTCTACGAGAACAGCCCTGACACACAGAAACTTACAGCAAAGGACACTGAGACAAGCTCAGCTTCAAAGCAGTGGTCAGAAAAGACAGTTCCTCATTTTCAAGCTAAATTAAACTAAAAAGTCCTTAAAATGCTACTAAATGTGCAGCCTTATTGATCTGCTCCTTCTCTGTTTCTGCACAACACACGGACAGCAGCACACAGACAGTCAGCAGCCCGGGGTTTTCTCTCCAAATCCTACACAAATAGGTCAGGGGCTCTCTGTTTGTTGGAGGAAAACAGCTGCTGGATCAAATACAAAAGCTCAGGCCGTTTTCTTTGGCCTCTCCGGCCTGACCAACAGCATGTGGAGCAGCCTGCTAAACAGAAGCAGCAGAGCAGCCACCGGAGGAGGGCGGGGCTGAGACCATACCTGTCCTGAGGCAGAGCTGGTCGAAGTCGGGGCAGCAGCTGTTGTAGGTCTTACAGAGGTTGTCACAGCGACAGTTTGGGGGCTCCGCCTCCACCAGCTCGAAACACCTGCCCCTGCAGGAGCCGGACGCCGGCGGGGACTGCCACGCAGAGCGAGCTGAGAAGAGAAGCATCCGCTGGGTTAGCCTGGTCACGGTTTGGGTTTAAGCAATCCTCTAAATGAAGAGGAAATCCATCCATCAGCCCTGAGCCTGGCTGTGTGGTGGGGATGCTTCCACTCATTATCCCACTGAGGCTCTTTATGGGCTCCCTAATGGAGGCAGTTAGCTCTGTCAGCTCACAGAAAGACATGTCCTGCTTCTAAATCCCTCCTCCCCCGTCCAGAAACAGAAAAACTGACCCAAACAGCGAATGGGGTCTCTGGTGGCAGCTGGGATCCAACCTCATGTGGCTCTGAATAAAATGAACCAGAAAACTGCTGGAGGGGAAATTCTGCCTGTGGTGAACAGGGCATGTTGGCCTTTAGAAGCCAAATGCAATAACAAAGCCAAAGAAAGCTCATTTCAGGTAAATGTAAATAGATTCTTTTAAAATCAAAATCTGCAATTTGCTCTTGCCTTTCTTGCTTTTTAATTGAAACTTTCTTTATGAAATAAAAGCGTAGTTGAAGTTTGAATGCTTTAATCAGGATTTCCTAAACAGGAAAGCAGCACACAGCCTCTGCCCATGTTATCAAGTGTTTTTGCAGTTTGTTCCAGGTAGAGGCAGCAGCTGGACTCTGCAGGTGGAGGATCAGCCATATCCTGCTGATGTCTTAGCTTACATACGGACAGGAAGGAGCACCAAAGCTGTTTGTACAGTGATGGAGAGAGGTGTGGAGCTAGTGCTCTGTGAGAGAGGAGAAAGGCTTCAACAAAACATCCCCAAAATGGGAAATGGGTTCAGATTAATTCCTGGAAAAGGTATTGGGAGTATAAAATTATCAATACGGTGGATTACACCACAATGTCAACATTTATGGTGTCTTTGATAGTGTTCAGAAAGCTGTGATATGAACGGTAAAGGTGCTCAACCGCTCAAGCTTTCTTCTGAACGCATCCATGCACCGTGAATGCTCACAACCAGTCCTTTGGATGGTGTCAGGAAAATGAGCCAGCCTGGGAAAACAGGCAAAGGCGCGCTGAGGCTGGACCCAGGAGCCGAGCTATAGAGGTGACACTCAGGCTAAGCCTGACTCCACACCAGAAACAAGGCCCAAAACAGGCTGCGTTATTAATGAATGGAAAGACTTAGAGCGTGTGGCCAACATGAGCTTTACTTGTGCAGAAGCCTCATTTCCCCTGTCTGCTGCAGTGGGTGTGACCCGTGCACCAGCCCCTCCCTGTACATGCACACAACGCACGGGCATGACCGCGCTGTGCCATGCTGCCCAATGCTGCCCAGCAGGCCCAGCTCCAGGCCTGACAGGCACAGGTCTGGCTCTGGAACAGGGAGCTCCAGAGGAAGGCTTAAAGGTTGTGGTCGGTATCCCGGCAGGTGTGAGCTGAGGGCTAGTCAGTGTATGGATGGAGGGATGGAGCCAAAGCATCCCACATCCACAACCATCTACAGTTTCTTTCCTGTTCTTTAAGCATGGACCTTTAAAAACCACCTGCCCTGTGAACAGTAACCACAACGCCAACAAAGAGGTTTCAAAGCCCACCTAGCTGTGTTTGGCACCGGCTGGAGCAGATACGAGTTAATGGTGGACACTTCCAGACGTCTGCGCCCCCTATACCACACATGGTCATCCTGATGACCAGTCCCTTGCTTTCCTCACTATGGACGCTGCTTTAATGAGCTTACCTGGTTCCCCCTAAGCAGACCCTGCCCTGTGTGAGGCTGCTCAGCTGCTCACACACACTCCCAGATCCACTGGAACGAGCCCGGAGGCTCTGGCACTACTTTCTTTGCTAAACGCTGCTGGAACAGGGCGAACAGACCGTAGCTGTGGTCTGCACAGAGAGGCTGAGCCACACATGGACGGGAGCAGAGACCCAGCTCCAGCAGGCGGAATGTTGACTCAGCACAAACACACACACACACACACACACACACACAGGGCCACAGAGAGCCGTTGTAACGTCACGGCCCGGCTCTGGCAGACTCTCCACACAGAAACTAAGTGAGCAGGAGAAGGTTCTGGGAGCCCGGGCCCTCCTCAGACTACACACCCCCGTTCTGAAAGGCAGGGCTGTGTTTCAGATCCACGCCTGGAGACAGGGCTCCAGCTTCATCTGCCTATGAAATACACGGAGAAATGGACCTTCAGACTTCACACGGCCGGTGCTGGGAACCTCAAACTAAACTGAGACTTATGTGGTCCAGTTTACAGTGCTGATGGTACAGGGATGTAGAACACCATGGAGTTAACGTGTCCTCTCATCTGTTTTCAGCCCGGAGAGCACCCAGTGTCAAAAAGGTGGCTCTGAATGGCTCCTAGAGGACTCTGTCAGAATGAGAGTGGATATTTGATCCTGTTTTGGAAAGGTCCAGTGGAAAATATCCACAACAGAAGGGAAGCGGGACAAAGAGAGCTGACTTTTCTCTCATTCATGCTGACTTTGGTCCCCACAGGAGGCACCAAAATGATGGGACACGTTCCTGTTCTTTTCCTGGTTTCTGTGGCTGAGTACAGCAGGTCAGACAGACGAGGCCTGGATGGGGGGGGGGGGTGACATCAGACCAGCTGTCCTGGAGCTCAGGGCCCTTACAGTGGGTCAGTGCTGCTGTGTCTCCACTGCCTGCTCCGGTTGCCTCTATACCTGATGTGTTTACATCTGCAGGAATTCTAAAATTCCTCCTTCTCCAGAAACCTTTTCCCGTCTGTCTGAATAGTGTGTGTAGTGAATGTAGGCAGCTCTAAGGAGGGCTGTGGTTAAAAGGCCGTTACGATGTTGACTGCTTTACAGGTTTTATCTTGATGAAATATCAAATGTCATTATCATGCATCTGTGGCTCCACGTGCATAGTTACATTCCATTTGGGAGCTCACTGCCACATGCATTTTATTAAAAGCCAGAGGAAGGAAATTCTGCTGCTTTTGCTGAGAGGGACATTCTTTTGCTGGGGGGGGCTCAGGTTTCTGTCTGATTACGGTCAGGCAGCTGTAAGGGTACTCACATTCTGTCCGGGCTGGAGTCCCATCCTCTCCGGAGCGTTTAGGCCGGCCAGAGACAAAACTCCAACACAAGTCAGAGCCGCACAGGGCTGACAGGATCCACAGCAACTGGGAGGACAGCAGCAGATTCATCACACACACACACACACACACACACACACACACCCACATCCCTCTCGTGCCTACCAGTTTCTGCTGCAGCATGCTCCTCTCCGGATGAGTGCTGGGCTGCAGGACTCCCAAACCCGGAGCACCGGGGGGAGGGCAGTTAAGGAGGACGGGAGAGGGGAGGAGACAACTGGCGCGGGCCGGGGGGGGGGCGGGGGGGGCTGCCGGGGAGCCGCTAACGGATGCGGGTGGGCCGGATCAGCAGCCGCGGAGCCGCCCTGGCGCTCTGCGGGGGAGCCGCACGCGCAAGGCCGGCACGCGCACGGACGAGACGCGCACGGCCCTGCCACACGCACGGCCGGGACACCAACCGGTCCATCTCCTGCTTTCAACTGAGCGAGTTTCAGAAACTTTACAGGACGGATCCAGTTCTATAAGCAAGGGATGGAGTGATAGAGTGAAAGCCCAAAGTCCCCCCAGCAGCCTCATCTCCAAGCCACACTTTACTAAACCTGTTCATTTCTGTCCATTCCCCTTTGAACAACACACACTTTTCCTGATTAAAAACTGTCTGGAGTCATGGTTTTGATCATTTCTTTCCCTGGGGAGGTGGATTTGGTGTAGCAGCAAACTGAGGCAGTGAACTGAGAGCAGTCCCTCTGCTTCTCCAGAGTCTTCCTCTCCTGCTCTGCCCCGGGGGGCTCCTCTCAGCCCTGGGGTGGAGGGGTTCTCAGGTGTTTGGAGAAGGTTCTACTGGTCTCCAGTGCTGCTGGACTTAGAGGTCCCAGCCCCTCTGACAAACCCAGCTGGGACAGTCCCAGGTTTCAAGAGGGTTTTCTGGCAAAAGGTTGCACCCCATTCAGAAATGAGTTATCCCACCCTTTCACAGAGGCTGCATCACAGTGACTGATCCTCAGAAATGCTGCAGAGACTCCTGTCCAGTGGGCAGACACGGGTCAGGGCACAGGGGGAAGAAATGACTCAGAACCTTCTCCTTCTGTCTCTGAAGGGGTGCTTAACCCCACATAAATGCTCAAGAGAGGACATCATAGGGAAAACATTCCAATTAGAATATCTCTGACTAAATGTTTAGTGGCTTTTAAGTGTAAAAGTGATCCATGTTTCACTTCCAGTGATGCTTAGTCTTTATTTTCCACACCGTCTGATCACAACCACTGTCTCCCACTGGTGTGAGGCGGGCTCCCACAGGTTATCTCTCCACTCAGGCCTGCAGATTCCTCCCCATCCTGTTTGTGGTGACCGGCCCTGTCAGAGAAACAAAACAACGACTCCCACAGCACCTTTTTATTGAGCTGGAATCAGAGGGATAAGGCTCTTTAGGGGTCTCCTGACGGGGGCCGTGCCGGTCAGTCTCTGCCAGGCACACCAGGCTCCCCACGGAGAACACGTGCTGCCCCCCCCCTCTACACAGGCTTCAGGTACAAATATAGAGCAGGACAGCATCCTAATCATTACTCTCTAAATCTATGGAGCAGAAATACAAAAATGACCATCTTCCTTTGGTGGTCTGCCATGACGGTCAGTGCAGCACAGTGATGGGAAGCAGGGGTTTCTCTGTGGGGGGGGGTACTGAAATCTGCTGGTTCTTCTCATCGTTTTAAAACCACCCCATCAAACCTAAAATCCTGCCAGTAAAATGAGCCACACAGCAGTTCAGTATCCAGACCCAATCTTGTTAAAACACTTTGTGATGCAAAGGCCTCTAAAAGAGATGAAAACAATCCAAAACAAAAGCAGAAAAACACAGTTTTGCCGTTGGTTCCTGGAAGCACAGCAGAGGCTCAGTCCACAGACCCCCCCCCACCATCCACCATGATGGGACTGCCGGGTGGCCACAGCTGGGCTTCAGCTGTAATGGACTGTGTGCAGAGAAGTGTGTTTGTGTGTGTGTGTGTGTGTGTGTGTGTGTGTGTGGCTGCATGCCTGCCACCGGCCAGTGCTGTGTGTGTGAGGACACACAAGTCTTTGGAGCTTGGGTTCATTTCTCTGATGGAAACACAGAGGAAACGGGGCCAGCATGAGAACTAACTGCTCCTTTCAGCGCTCAGACGGGCAGGTGTCCAGCCTCCCGCAGGTGTCCAGCCTCCCGCAGGTGTCCGGCCTCCCGCAGGTGTCCAGCCTCCCGCAGGTGTCCAGCCTCCTGCAGGTCAGACGGGATGGACGGCTCAGTCGGACAGCGACGGCGAGCGCAGGGAGCGGCCGCTGGCCGGGCTGTTGCTGTAGACGTGGGAGTTGTCCCGCTCCCGCTCCTTCTCCTTGCTGTCGTGTTTGTGTTTATGCTTGTGTTTGTGCTTGTGCTTCTTCTTCTTCTTCTTGTGCTCGTGGTGGTGGTGGTGGTGGTGGTGGGCGTGGTCGCCCCCGTGCTTGGAGGACGAGGAGGTGGTCTCTTTGGAGAAGGAGGGCAAAGGCGTGGCAGGCAGGGAGAGCAAGGACTGCTCAACTAACGGGGGCTCTTTCCCTGAGAAGGAGAGGAAAGGGGAGAAGAAACACCATCAGAAATAGACATACAAATATCCTAAATGATGTGAAAAGAGAGATGAAAACAGGAGGAGCAGATACTCCCAAAGCACTCCAGGGACAGACGGCAGGTGGAACTGCCGGCAGTAGTTCTCACAGGGGGGGGGCACCAAAGGGAAGCAGTCTTTGAGGGGCCTTTCTCTCTGTGTGCTTACCTGGTGTAGAGGGTCTGTCTAACAGGTTGAGATGGTGATGGATGAAGGCCTGACTGTCATGAACGGTCTCCATATCTATATCTTCCTCTTCCATGGTGTTGAACTGGAACAGAGAACAGTTGGAGAGGAATGAAAACGACCTGTTCTGTTGTTGTGGAAACAACAGACCCCCACCATCAGGTAGTGTGGGAGGAAATGGCAGTCTCACCCTGATCTTGTAGCGCCCCCCCCGTGCATCGTCCTCCTGCTGCTGCAGCACCTGCCCTGGCTCTGGGGGGGAGCCCAGCGGGGTCTCCGTCTTCCTCTTCAGTCCCTGAGGAGGCTGACCAACCCCACACACACCCAGAGAAACAGGATCTGGCTCCTCATCCATCTGACAGACACAGACAGCAGATTCAGCAGGATTATGCCTTCAGGACGACAGCCTGCTCACAGGACACCTTTCAGGGCTCGCCATGCCACATACTGCTGTTACAAATGTAGTCCCTGACCCACCAACAAACGCCCAAACAGCTGCAACAGCGGTAAAAAAGAGCAACGGTCCTGGTGGAGGCACTGTGGTGTCCCGAACCACACTCCATGCAGCGTCCTCTGGTGTTTGTGTGACCCGCCAGGGGCGACTGGCCACTCACCGGTGTGTAGCTCATCCCCACCCCGTGGATGCCTATGCTGGCAGGGGAGTCCATGACGGCACCGGGCCCCAGCTCAGGCTTGATGGTGGGGTTGAGCACAGCTTTCTTCTCCTTCAGGTTGAGAACCAGACCCAGCTCTGGCAGAGGCAGGCACGAGGGCCGAGTCAGACCGAACAACGTGTAGTAGAGGTTGACCGCGTCGCAGCGCAGCCGCCAGTCGTGGGAGGTGCCTGCAAAGAGGGCACGGGTCACTTCAGAACCGAGCAGAAAGGTGAGGTGTGTTCCTGCAGTCCGCAGACACCTCTTCACTTATATCTGTGTGCAAATGCCTGGCTGAAGGTCTTGGCATACAGATGGGTGTGATAAGGTGACCACTCACAGTGGCTAACAGCAGCTTTGCCGTCAGACACACTGGTCTTTACACTAAACTAACCACCAGCCATCAGTCTTCGGGGAATGATTGAGGAGAACAGCGGGCCGGCTACATGCACCATTACACCAGTCGTATGAGTTACCCACCAAACGGTGCTGAAGCTGCAGACCAGGCGCCGCACAGCAGGGGGTCCACTGTGGCTTACACACATGGAAGGTCTATGGACTGACCTTCAGCTTGTGATCGTGTGTGTGTTTAACACTTGGGCAGTTGGAAGATGCTGGAGAACAACGGGCCCATTTTAATCCCGGCATTTAGGAATACCACACTGGTCACTGGGTGTTTAGACTGGCAGTACCCGGCCAACAAACAGGAGTACAGTGGAAAGAATCACCAGCAGGCCCGTCCATCCTCCTTGTAAATCACTAAAATAAATAACATGTTGCAACAAGAGCCTGGTGGTCGTCAGGAATCTAACGAACATATAATTGTATTTGGCTTTTGAGTTGGGGGTATTTGGATTGGCAGACTACTATTTTATGACCTGGTTAGCTAGCTGAAAGGCACACAGGACCCCCCAGCAAGAAAAAGAAATAATGAAACCCGAGGACACAATGGGAGACACGGTAGACCCGTTTCAATCTCTGAGTGACAGAAAAGGTCGTTCTGGATCTAAAAACATCCCCTCAGCCATCAGAGCCCGCGTTCAGATCCAACCGTAGCTTACAAGAAAATGCAAAGTCAGACATCTACATGAGGGTAAGCAGGAGGGAAAGTACAGGCATGGTCTGTGCCATCATGCATCATACAGGAACCGGGCTGGCTTTAATGGAACCACTGAGTGGCAACAAGAGGATGTGCTCAAAGGCTAAAGAAGCACTGCACCACTGAGCCAAGCACCAGGCCCACAGCTCAGTGTCTAATTTACAAAACAAAACACCAACAGACAGCCACTAACAAAGTCATCTTTTCTCTGGGAAAGAGATCACAAACTCACATTGACAATAAATTAACATAATGTCCCTTCCTTCAACAGGACAAGACTCCACAGTCACTCATGGATGTGGAGACTTTCAGCTACAATAAAGAGCACCTGTGTTGTTGGCAGGAAACATGCACATGTCCTTGACAACCCAGATATTAACCCACACTTAGAATCAGAGTCTGAAGGTAGTGTGCAGGTCACCTGAGTTCATAAGCTTCCAGAGCTGGTCCACCAGAGCTTCGTTACACAGAGCCGAGTCGGCGGTCTTGGTGAAGGGGGGGTTCTTACAGAGCATACCCAGGATCTTATGCCTGTTCGGACAACAAAAATAAGAAGACATACACATTGGCTGTGTCTGAACTACTGCTGATCAACAACAGCAACATTCTAAAGGAAGATATATTGTGCTCCGTAATCATTTGAATTTGTTTGGATTAAAAACATTTACATTCCATTTTGCTACTTTTGTGCTGTAAATGTATATTTTCTGGCTACCTGTCCTTATGTTTCCAGCCACTCAGACACATACAGCATGTCTCTGATGAGCACGTTTTATTTTGAACCACTGGGATGAAAATAAATAGCTGCTCTTTTCTAGATACCAACTATTAACTGTAACTTTCTCCCTTGGCCCCACCTACAATAAGCTTTTTTCTCCTGTGGATCATGCTCATCTACTCGTTAGGGGTGAACCTGGATTCTGAGAGGACCCTAATGAAAACAGAGGGGTAGGGGCTGGGCCTTGCTGACTGCAAACAGCAAAACCAAAAACATTATCCAGACATCTGGTATTATAATGTTTAGTATAATGTTAGGCTTTTCAAGATTAAGGCTTTCTCCCCCACCCATTCAGAATTATTAGACTAATAAACTGCAACAATAAGCAGGGCTACACTCCCCCAGTCCTCAACTTCAACTATTCTGGTCAAACCGCTGGTTGTTTAAGTGGTAGTGTGTTTAAGTGCCTTAAAAAGGCAGTTGCTGTGATTTGGTCCCTTTGCATAAAGTTGAATGCACATACACATATGTATGCATTTCCCTTTGTGAGCCAACTAGAAAAGAGTCTGGTGTTCACTGACCTGACATGGTGAACCGGGTCATTCTGAACCATGGTGAGCAGCCACTGCAGCTCTACAGAGTTCCTCTCAACTGCAGGCAGACGAACACAACATCAAGACAACAGAAAAAGCACAGCCCACAGCCGTGTCCATGCTGTAGTCCCTCTGTGTCCCAACCCTGACTGGACCACACAATCCACCCAAAGACCAGGCAGCAGAGGAGAGAACACAATCCTTTCCCCCTGACCATGACCCCTGCCCTGCAGAAGGGCCCCTGCTGCTGCTGGACTCAGCTGGACTCAGCTGGCCGTCAGCGGGCTGCCAGCCTCTGCAGCATGCTGGAGGCGCCCGGGCAGCCAGCCTATCAGGCGTCCTACCTCTGGTGTAGTCCACCAGGGCTTCCAGCGCAGCGATACGGACATCCACGAAGTGTCCATACTCAGCGTAGGACTTGAAGAGCGAGGGGTCACTGGGGATGTGGCCGTTCTTCTGTAGCTGGCGAATAGCCTTCAGACAGCTGCAGAGAGAGGACCAGCGTCATTCCTCCTGAGCGGGACCACTCAGGAAGCTCCTCAGCAAGGGTCTTTCTCTGTTCACACATTCAGGGGGGGGGGTGCCCCCACATTTCAAGTGCTGATAGACAACCGGTTGGCCATCTAAGGTCATCCTGTTTTCAGGGGCCTGCCTGGCATGAGTATTTCCAGCTCCAGACTTTCAAAGATTTACCCTAACAGCAACCATCATGCCACCTGAGTTAGTATTTTAAACGTTAGAGGTTTGCTTTAGATTTCTGATTTCTATTGACGATATATAAATCAGAAGAACACGTGACTGTTAGAGAAGTGTTTAAACTGAGCAGAGTTGGCGGCAGACATGAGTGTACGCTCTCTGTACCTAACGGTGATGGTGTTCCTGAAGCTGGGCAGCAGCTTCTCCATGTTTAGGAAGCGTGTGATCTCCTCCAAGATGAGGCGGACATCAGCATTTAAGTTGTCCACTGTGCGCACCTCGTTGTTGATGCTGATGGCTGGAGTCAGAGAGTTGGTCAGTGCTTCGATGAGGTCAGCACGGTAGTAGTTATCTGAAAACTGTAGACAGAAAAACAAGAAATCCGCTGTTTGTGAATATGCTCTGTTAACAGACAAATATCCATCTGACTTTTGACAAGAGGACTTCATTTGTAACTATTTTATACCATCCTGTATGGAACAATAAATAAACTGTTGAATTAGGCAAATGCGTTTAATGATAAATGTGCATGTCAGGAAGACGACAGAAAAACAAAAAGACAACTAAGATGCATACTGCCACTCATCACCCAAAACTGAACAACATTTTTCCTCGATGTTTACCAGGGATGGAAAAACATGGGGGAAAGGTGGGAGTCATATTCCACAAACGAAAAGATAAAACATTCTTCATTTGTCCAAGTTGCTTTACCCCCCAGCCTATACCTTCATGTTGTTACAGTTACTATCAGAAAAGCTGAGAAGCAAGATGCCTTTACTTTATTTTTCCGGTTGTCATTATACTTGATGAGGTCAAGAATGAAGTTGAGGACATCTTTGGGACAGAGGTTCTGCACATCTCTGAGAAGAGCCATGGCGACTGGCATTGTCTGGAACACACACAAAAGGAATTAGACACTGTGTTAGTCATATCAATGCTATGGTAAACCTTCCTCATCGATAAAAAAAGGTGGTGGAATCACTGGCTGCCACTCTCAGTCCACCTGTAAGCCGCAGAGCCTGAGAATGACTTCAACAAATGATTGACTGAGCCAGAACCAAGAATTCAGCACTATAGCAAGCAGCCAAGCCACAAAAGGTAGGCAGAGCAGGGCAAATGTGTGCAATGAAAATGTTTAGACGTGATGTAAGAACCTGTGGAGAAGAAAGGAAGGAGGGCCTACCTTCTGCAGGAAGTAGCTCTGGAAGTTGATGAAGTTATTGGTCTTGATGATGTTGGGGCAGCTCTTACAGCAGAACATTCTGGTGAACAGGGACTTCATGGCTGGGGGACCCTGCCATGTGCTCACCATGGCATTAGCGATCTGTGAAGTCAGCACCAGAACAGCACTTTAAGGGTCCGCTCTAAAGGCAGAGGGGTGAATTTGTTTTTGTTCTAATTCAAGTGGAATGGAGTGGACAGCACAGGTTTTCCTGTGTGTTACAATGCAAACATATTTTGACATTTGTTAACAGAATGTAGAAACATTGACCTCTGCATGTAACTCTCATCCAGTTCTAATACGCACCACCTTTTCATCCCTTTTCTCACCCCTGCTCATTCAACCCCTTGACTGGTGTTAATCTCTCCGAGCATCTCTTTAACAGGATATTATTGTGGACATCCGTTAATTCTTATTTCATGATGCACCAGTGTCCACTTCAGTGTCCAATGCACATTTAAAGCATTTGAACCTACATATACAGCTGCCTGCTGTAGTGAGCGCTATGCATGAAAGGGTTAACAGCATGGGGTTTCTGTGGGTATGAAGAACAGACGCTCCTGTGGTCTCTGGGCTCCAACAGGATATTGGGGAATTTATGTTAATGTGGGAATACGGGGCCATGGGTCACTGACACAGGACCTTGTCGTTTGGTTAGGTAAATAAGACAAGGCACGCACACCAGCTTGTTTTTAAGTGCGTTTGGATCCATTCATTCAATTTTGTGTGTGTTCTGAATGTGAAATCATTTTTCAGTTTTTGTGTTTACCTTCAGTCACACCTTATTTAGTCCATTCATAACATGCATCTAAAAGCCCCCCCCCAACAGTCACAGCAGGAAGTTCATCAGATGACTGAAGTGTGTTTCAGTGTGCCACAATCTGCTTTGTGCTCCATGTGTGAGCGCGGGCGATTTCCTCAGTGTGCGTGAGAGCCTACACATGCCGTGCGTGTGTGGACAGTGTACAATAAAGGCCATTATGAAGGAGTCTGCGGGAGTTCTGTGGCCAAACAAAGTAACTTAATGACAGACATTTCAGCCCCCACTCAGTTTATCATGCTGTAAAAATATTGATTCAGGTGGAACCTGAGAGGTGGAAATCCAGTGTGGTGAAAGTTGGAGTAGTCTAAATCCAGAGAATAAAGAATTTCCTGCAGCCACAGAATGGGATCATTCAGTACGCTGAGCTTCAGTTTATCAGCAGTTAAACTGATGGGGGCCCTGGCATGTTTCCCTTTTTCTGCTCCTCCACTTTCACAGCTTTTGTTTCAAACAAAACAATTACATTAAAAAACATTTTTACCAACACTAACAAGACAAAGACACGCTAAGAAAACCAAAAGATTAGTCTGAAACAGTATCTTCAGACTAATCATCTTCATGAAACTTCCAGTCTCCCGTCCTGAGTGTGCAGAAAAAGGGAAGAAAATCCATTTGAGCAGCACGGCCTTCAGATCCAGAGAACTTAAAAGCATCTCAGTGGGGTTCAGGTTTGGACGCTGAGACCAAGCCATTTCTGAAAAGGGACTGCATATAATCTCTGAACAGTCTTTAGCCCAGGAATTCTGCATAGCTTTGAAAAGTCAGATAAGGGAGGACAGAAATAAGTGATACAATATAGCCAGAGATAGAATATGAATAGTTTTTTCTGAACCTTGATCAACCAGCTGAGACAGCTCCAGATCACAGCACTGCCCTGTGGATGGTCCAGCAGGCACTGAGCGTGATGGCTGCCAGTCAGGAATCATAATGTGTCTGTTCCCATTACTGCTGATTAGTCTCACAGACCTCAGGTCAGACTATGTGTGAATGCACACTTACTTTCAACCAATATAGCCTGATGTTTTGTATGTGATACAAGTCTTTTTCACAGGTCATTGCATCCTGGAAGATGATGGTCCCTTCCACTAAGTAGCTATGCCCTTTCTACTTATTCAAATCCAAAACATAACTTCTATGGGCAGGAAGTGTATCTTTCCATTTCCTGTTCTTGTGAGGAACATGCTGTGCACGTTTGTGGATTTAGGACAATAAAGTGTCCCTTTATCCAGTTTTACTGGAAATGGCATTCATTTACACTGAGATAAAAGCTCAAATGGTTCTGTAAGACTATGTTCAACGCCATAGTTAGAAAATTATACCCATTTCTGAGGACGGCAGAGGAAGCCGATTGGTATGATCGCATACACACACACACACACACACATATATATATATATATACACACACATACAGACACACACACACAGATCTACATCTCCATGTTTTTAGAAGTGTGCCACAGGTGACCCTACTACCCTAGCAGTGCTAAGCTTGCTGTGGCTGAAGGCCAGCCATCAGAACAGGCTGTGGCCGACATGTTCTATGTATGAGCTTTGAAAAATCCCGACGCTTGAACAGTAACTGAAGGAAAACTTGTCACATACCTTAGCCAAGCAGAAACAGGCCTGCATGCGCACCTTGTAGAAACACTGTTCTTGCTCTAGAATATCAGTCAAAGCCAACCTGGAGGCAGGCGTGGGGAATTTTATAAGTGCTGAGATGGCCTCCTCCTGTTACGAAAGAAAGCTTTGGTCACCAAAGTTATCATGCCAGGTACACATGAGAGCTTTACACTGATAACACAAGACAGCCCAATATTCCTGTGCGTCTCAATCCTTATCTTGTCTGTTGTACACAAGCCCAAAAGTTATGCAAAACACAATGAAGCTCTCTAAATGTCTTCAGCTGAGAGATTGGAAAAGAAAAGAAGATGAAATGTAAATTAGCTAAGGCAAAGATTTCAACTGGTTTCAGAGAGTTCCATGAGCCATCAGAGAGAGCCTTCCTTCCTAACAGCGGGATCAGATCTGCAGGAGCATCTTCATACCTGAGCAACCACGTCCCTTTCATATCGCAGCTGGTACTGCCACATAAAGTCTGCCTGTTCAAACTCCACCTTCCTCAGGATGGACATGTCCGGGTCAATGCGGATCCACAGGAGAGGCGAGTCAGCACTGAAGAGGACAGAGGAATGGTTGATGCACAGAGGGGTGATGCCTCTCAGCTCCCATCAGATGGGGTCAGCTGAGGAAGCTGCTTTCAGGTACTTACAAAGCTTTGTTCAACATGTCAAATTAATCATCTGTGAATCACTTGAGTATTTGATGCCAGACTAATGAAAGTGCAGCTAAAATCAGGCATAGATTTTCCTTCAAAGGCATTCAGACAATTATTTCTTACTCCATTGCTGATAAATCCATGTCAACTTCTTCTCCATTCATCAGAGGAATTTTCTTTTTCTTGTTTCTAAGGGGGGGAAAAAACAAAACTTTTCATGGCTATTCTGTTTAACTGAAGACAAAAAAAACAAAGATGGTAGTAATGCTTTGCAGAGTTCTGCAGACGGCTGCCCTTCATGCCCTAGAGGGTCAGAGTGTGGCTGTGTACCTTCTGCTCTTGGAGTGGCAGGGAATGTCGTGTTTGAGGCTGTTCTCCTCTATCTGCAGAGTGTGGTTGAAGGACCCATCCAGTTCCTGTACGGTCACCTTGATGGGACCCTGCAGGGACATGTTCACGTGACTGGAGGAGAACATAGCCCTGGTTCTGGTCACAATGAATGCAATGGTTCTGGACAGCACAGATAATAAATACAGCGACCTCACAGCAGAAAAGTCCGGGGCCTAAAACCAGGGGAGCACTGCCTCCCCTGGGTCCATAGCCCCGTGCTAAATGATAGCTTCCTTTGGTCATTATGAGGAGGTGTGCACTGGCATCACGATGGACTGGCTCCCCCGCCCCTTAACCAGTGTCAGCTGGTAAAAGCTGCAGCTCTCCCCGTTTACTGGCCTGAGGTCACCAGCACATAGTCGGCCAACCAGGGGTTACAGAATACACTCTGCCCATAGATTTGAAGCTTTTACACAAAAGCTGTGCGTCTTGACACAGTAATCAGACTGACCTGCAGCCCCCCAGTATGATGGACTGCAGACTCTAGCTTACGGTCACAGGCACACACTGTGTTGTGCTTAATGCTCACCACATATTTCTGAGTTCCAGATGATGTGTAGTCCTGACGGATCTCCAGTTCCAGCACATTCCTCTTCCTGTTGAAGGCAAAACTGCCATAGAATTTCACCACACCACTTTGGTCTCTGGATATATCAAAGGTTAAGGCAGAAAACCTGAAAACAGCTTAGACGTTTCCATTTTACCTGACAGAAGATGAAGAACACATAGGTTAATGCTACAGAAAGGCTGAATGACTGACTTCAAAAGCCATATTCCACACTAGCCTCTATGCTTTATTCTTTCTAATGCACACAACACTGGAACCACTTTAACAAAAAACACATCTGTCTTCAAGCAGGGATTCATTAAGATTTAAGGATACACCCATTGTTTGATGAGGGGGCCAATGTCTTTGCCTGAGACATTGGAGATGGATTTGAGGAAGGCGTGAGTGGAGAGAAGCATCTGACTCCACATGTGGCTCTGATACTTCTGAGACGAGGCTGTGCTGGCCAGGCTAAGGAGCTTGTTGAAAACCTAAATGGTGAGAGAAACAAACTGGCTGTGTGATGTCTGAAAACACCCATGACACAAAGAAACACGCAGGCGGCGTCTGACCTGCAACATGAACTCCATGCTGATCCGATTTTCTATCAGCCTCATCACCAGGTGGGCTTTACACTGGAACATCTTGTAGTATTCCCAGGACAGGGTGTGGGGGTGCTTAATGGAGAAGTGAAGGTGAGGGGTTGGACTGAGGAGAGAAAGGCGAGTCAGTGCCACACAGCCATGGTCCAGGAAACGGACAGTTTCTCAAAGAGCTCTGAATGCAGCAGGACAAAACTCAGTTCGGATTCATTACTTGTCTTTTTCTTTGCCTCCACCGAAAGTGGGGTGCAACAGGACACCTCCCATCTTTAGTTCATACTCCACAATCTTGTCCAGCTCCTGCAGAAAAACAAAATCATTCTCCTGTAAAAAAAATTACTCATTTAATTGGGTCCTCCTTATCAACTTTGAGGAAAATCTAGTGATGTTTTTGGTCATATTTATGCTGAAATATTAAACATTTGAAAGGAATCATGCATTTTCCAGCACCTCTGTATGAACTACTTGCATGTGAAGTTCAAGAGTGAGTTTTTCCTATGTTGACAGAGACATACCCCAATGGTCTGCCACAACCATAACGCACTTGTTTTCAGTGAGAAAATCAATGGATGACCACTGTCAAACCCTAAAAGTCAGTCCTGTACCCAACGCTGGCAGGAAAACCTCGTTGGCCTTCACATGATACAACTAAGGCTCCAGCATTGGTAAGAAACAGGCATGTTTCTTTGCTTCTTTACAAAGGACGGATCAGAGATCAGGGAAAGTAGCCCCACAGTTGCATTTCTCATACTGTATCAGAAATGTTTTCTCCAGGGAGAAATGGCAAAAGTTAAGTCAGTCTGGTAGGTAGTTAGTCATGTGTGTGTACACTTCATAAGAACCGACTGGCAGCCATCCCAACAGCTGGAGAACTGATTCCTTACCAAGTAGGAAAAGGAGAAACCGTGGTGCTAAACAATCATTTTGTTAAATTAACCACAAAAACAGTATCAAAAATGGTGTCAAACCTCTTTGATCCAGTGCCGGTACTCATTGACTCCGAATGTCTTCTTCAGGTAGAGCCCATAGATGTAGCCAGAGATCCCCTTCAGCACCCACTCATCAGCCCTGCAGGACGAACAACAAGTTAGACCTGTGTCCAGACAAACCACAGAACATTTCACAGCATCACCCACTTCCTCCAGGGTTTGTCAGCCATGACAGCAGCGTTGGACATGTTGAACACATAGAGCATGATTCAGAATAAATAACACGCTGAGCAGAGCCCTAACCCCAGCAGGAGACTCCCAGGTGGCTCATGTGTCAGTCAATTACAAAATGAAAAAAAAGAAAACAGACGTCTTTAAGCATGGACACAGTCTGATGCAGCTGCTAGCAAACGAACGGGTCAGGCAGAAAAAGCCTCGTGTGAAGTTTGATGTAAATTTAAAGTCAGCCCCAAACGACCCGGATAATACTGCCTGCAGGGGGGTGATTTCCCAGAAACAGAGGGTACATTAATAATGAACACATCTGTTACACCTACATTAACATCTTTTGAAATAGAACTTAAGGTCTGGTATCACTAATTTAATTGATTTCTCTTATTGCTCAAGGTCAGTCCATCATTTTTGCTTATAATCATTAAAAGAAACTAATAATAACTGAACTATGAACTAAATGTTCAGTTTTAACCTGTATCAGCCTGAATTATATGCCTGCAAAAAAAGAAAAGAACACAGAAAACACACTGGACTGATTCCATAATTTCGTGTATATCTGCTGCAAGTATCTCACAATAAAAGGGTCTTTGCTCCAAGTCTGTGTACATGAAACACAAATCCCCCCCTGATGTCCCACTCACAGCAAAGGGATGGGTCCCTTTGTCTTAAGTCCAGAATCAGCTCCACCATTCATCAGTTGAGTTTCTGTTTCTTGGGCCATCTCTTTCATGTGTGACAGGCTAATAATCCTGACCTGTTTTCAATTATAGGAGCCGTTAAATCTCTGATTAATTGCTAGCAGCAGTGTGACGCTTTGACTGAATCCCAGAGATCTGCTGGTGTGTGGTTTTCCGTTCCACCACACCACCCTGCTCAGTGTGTGACAACATGCACACACCAAGGCCTCACAAGGATGTTTGTGCAAGTCAAGACAGGTTCTCATGGGCAGCAACTACATGGCTGGAGCAGCAAAGTGGTAACACAGCAATCTGTCATCCAGAGCACTGGCCCACAGTTATTCAGGCAGGAGCCAACCTCTGAGTCTTGGTACTGACAAAGCAGCCGAGTTCTGCTGTAAATCTCTCATCACCAGGCCCACATAAGGAGCTCTGGAGGCCAAACGTTACCACACTTTGCTGCTGGCTTTTGCTGAGAGCTGTTTACGTGTTACGCAAGTGCACTTCCAAACAATGATGACAGTCCGTTTCCATTACATTAACATATGGATCCTGAAGTTTATCACAGCCATTCAAGGCTGAGCTCAAGAACCCTTTGAACTCACTCTTTCAGAAGGGTGGCCTGCTGGAAAACCACAGGGAATGGAGTCACAATACCCTCAGAGTTTTCTAGATTTTTTAAAGATTCTGAGTAACTGAGCAAAGAATACAAATGAACACCATCTGAGAAATGGCTTAATCAAATGGGCAAGTGAAATTCTGTTTTGCAACACATCTCAAATCAAGTCTCACCATGACATTCTGGAGATGAAACAGCCAAAGAACTGCTGAGCCAAAGCCTGAGCCAGGCAGCGGCGGGTGTCCGGGGTCTGGTCTATGATCATTGGGCTGTGGAGCAGGTTGGTGCTGAAACAGGGGAGACAGGTCAATGCCAGAGAGGGAACAAGTCATGTTTGAGCAGGCGCGTCTTTACCGCCAGGGAGGCAGCAGAGAACACCTACCTGAAGATGCTCATAGAGGCGTAGGAGGAGATTTGAACGTAGGCTTCGTCCACAAACACAGTCTTGAAGCAGGCGTAAGGATAGCGGCAGGTCAGGATCTCCTCGTAGAACTCAAAAATCTCATGCAGGTAAGACATGGAGTGTTTGAGCAGAGGGAGCAGCTGCGGCAGGCAGAAATGGGTCACCTGGGGAGGACAGGGCTTCTGTTCAGAGCTCTACCCTCTCTGTGACTTCAGGCTTCATGTTTTGAATGAGGGCTGCACAGTGCTGTGGTGGTTAGCGCTGATAACTCGCTCTAACCCCAGGGTGCAGGCTCTCTCTGTGTGGACTGCAGGCTTTCTCACTCCAGCCATCCAAAAACATCCATCAGGGTTTCCGCTACATGTAACTGATACTGGTGGCGCACTTATACTAACCATAATCGGAGTTTGAAATTTGAATATCCTGACATGTTAACATTTCTTAACCCCAACCTTAGCCTCCAACCACCACCACCACTAAAAAAAATCCAGAGCATAGCCTGTCCATGTTAGGTTCATTGAGGAAACTGAACTGACTACAGGGGTGAGTGATGCTGTTGGCCTCTGTGTGGCCCTGTGGTGGCCAGCCCCCTACGCTCCAACAGCTGCAACCCCACCGGGAATAAGCAGCATAGAAAATGGATGGATGCTTTCAACAACGACGGAGAGAGAACTTCAATCTACATCCTGACATTTAAGGACATCTAGTGGTCAGTGCAAGGAAATGCTAACAGATGGAGGAGACACCAGCACAGCTGACAACTGGTCTGCTGCAAACATTAAGTTAAAGCTCAGATTCCAATACGTGCAAGTCCACAACCTTCTGGAGCATAGACCACGAACAGGTGCTCCAGTCTGAGCACATGCGCACACACTGAGTTCTCTCAGATACAGCAGCTAAGGAGAGCAGAAAGAGCTATCCACTGCCAACAGCCAGCCCAGCCATTTCAGAAGCAGCTACACCAGGCTAGCAATATCTTATCTGCACTAACCTCGTGCATGTAGGGGTCTACAAGGATCTCAAAGGGGCCCACAGCCAGGGAGATGTTAGGAGCGGCTGTAGGGATGGGAAGGACATAGTGAAAGGTCTTCTTCCTCATGTCATGGGTGTAGATGGTCTCCACCAGGTCCCCACAGGACACCGCCACCATGGATGCATCCACAGTGAACTCCAGCTTCCAGGTACACAGCTCTGAGTAGGAATCAACACAGGGGAACCAGAATCTGGGGATGGAGAGCATTTAATGAAGCAGATACACAAATAATGTAATTAACTGGTTATTTCTGCCAGGCTCTGTTCCTGAGCAATAGTTTTTCCTTTAACTTCCCACAGAAGGAGCACTTTTCTAAACTACTTAACAGGAGAGAGGCGGTGTGTGCTTCAGGTTTCTAACCAACACCATTACGCACAATTTCAGCACCTGGTAGAGTTCTGGTATCCAAAGGAGAAAACATGTGCTCCTCTCTCTGCCATGCTGCCCTCCACATCTGGGACCACAAAGTGAAGACCTCCTTTGGGCTGGTCCAGAGAAAATTCTATATAGACCTTCAACACTTTCATCTCTGGAGACACATAAAACCAGTAGGACAGCATATCAGCCATGGTCTCAAACTTCCATTTCAGCCAGTGAAAAGAATAGAAACAATCTGGTGAGGATGATAAAGAACAGCTTTTTCATGCTGAGTGGTAAACCATAACAAAAAGAAATGTGCTTGTTTGAATCATAGCTCACCATCTACTTGTTTCCAGAGTTCCGAGGGAACTTTGATGACCAATTCCCCATTTCCAGCATCAGGGTCCACAGCACTCACTGCTGCTGTGTAGGCACTGGAGAAATAGTTCAGGTTCCTCCTATTCAGACGAAAAATAAATACATGAAAAATGATCTAACTGTTACCCAAAGGTTCCTCTTTGATCATGAGGCACCTTGAGGGACCAAACTGTACACTCTTTTATCTGGCAACTGTGTCAACTTTTAAATTGGACATACTTTAGCTCCCTTTCTGCTGGGAGTGCATATAAAAAAATGACACATGCAGACACACTCACTGCTTGGACTCGCTGTGGCACACCTCCAGTGTGGGGTCATTGTAAATGAAGGGGGCTTCAAGTTCATTGACTCTGACTCTGTAGATTCGGCACTGTTTACTGTTAAGCTTGATCCTGTTCAGGTTGACCACTGTGGGGAAAATGGTCAGTTCAACATAGCCCTAGAGGAGGCAAGAGAGAATAACAAGTTAGAATAAATTTGATGCAATCTGTGACAAACAGAAACTAATAACAATCTTTTTCCACAACCTTATCATAAATGGCTACTATATGGGGCTAAACTGCAGAATGACACTAACTGGAGCTACTAATATCCTCCATAAAAGCCACGGTGACTTCCACATCCACACAGGGCGTTTTCCAAATATTCCTTATGGTATTGTTGCTAAATTCACCTGTAACTTAACTGCTCTTTCTGAATGAGCATAAGAAGAAACCAAACTACTAGATGGAAGAAACAGCTGGCTGTGAAAGGTATCAATTTTTATCATAACTATCTTTTGGTGGAATGTGTGTACTCACGATGACAGATTTCCTCTGGAAGTTGATGTTGTTGATGCACACCGCCTGGTGGGTCGTAAGGGAAACGACAGAAGAACGATTAGAAGAGCAGAAGCTGTGGAACTCTGGTTTAGGGAGGAAAGTGTCAGAAATGCTTATGGTAAAGGTTTACTTAGTGACAAAGTTATACAGAAATACTTATAATTTAAAAGGGCGTGGGCTCTCAAATCCCTTATCCTTCTTCCTGTTCATCCTTGCTGGAGATGGAGCCCTCACAGGGGGTCAATGAGCCGTGGGTCTGCTCCGTGTTGCGGCTCTCTTCATAGCCGTATTGGGCTGCTTTTCTAGCTCGACCCTCTTCTGCACGGTCAAATTAACCACAGAGTATTTTTATTAAAATTATGCAATGACGGCTGGCGCCAAGGGGCAACCAACACTGTGGAACTCACTGTTTAGAGCGGTCTCCTTTCGGTTTGATCCTGCAGAGACAGCGGTACCGTTTTCCCCACAACCCTCCTGTACGTATTCTTAAAACCGAGTCCCCTGAGCAGCAGTTAGTATTGTTGCGGTATTAAGACACAGGACCATTCATCCCCTGCTCCATGTGCCAAGTCCCCAAACATCTGAGTATATCCTCTGCACCCGGTTGCTCACAACATAGTGTTTGCAGCTCCTCAGAGTTCCGCCATTTTGTTTATAACCTTTGACCTCCCGCGTAAAGAAAATATTTTCCTAATCTTCTAAATATACCTTTAAAGGAATCATCTGTGCTAGACGACTCTCAGCATGTAAATATTGTGTAAAACAAAATCCCGTAATTATTTTTTTAATGGAGTACGCGTTTCACTACGTCGATGACGTAGTCAGACGTCTGCGGCCAAACAGCACGCAGCAAGAAACCGTAGACATAAACGATATCAGAAATAAAAAAATACTTTAATAATCCCGATGGGAATTTATTTTCGTTACACACTCCAAATATGTAGTGATAAATGATAATGTGCAAAAGAATGAGAAAATGTCAATGATGTTGACTCTCGGTACTTCCGGTGTGGAGCCAAAAAGTGCAGCTGTGTGAAGCTGACACCCCACCCACGTCAAAAACTTCAGCAAATAGTCTGAATGGTTAGTGCTCCGTTTGTGCCGTTAAAAGTTTCGTTTGTGCAGTTTTGGAACATTTGAACGGCACAAACCTGCACAAACGGAGCACTAACCATTTTTTGACGTGGGTGGGGTGTCGGCTTCACAGTGACAGTGACTGGATGGCCGCGGGAGCGCGCGCAGCGTGTTCAGGGCCTCTTCCTGAGCACATTAGTGTAAAAGTCACATACATTTGTACAAACAGACAAATATGAATGATATTCACTTGAAAATTATATATTTTTACATTTCAAGGGAAAAGATAATCAAAGAAGCATGCTAATTCATTTGAAATATCTATTTAAAAAAGAACTGACTTCTGAGCTTTCTGTTCTTTCATAACCATAGAAGCCTATTTCTGCCACTGTGATGAAAGAAAAACTTGGATCTCATAATTATGACTTAGTTGTCTCATAATTATGAATTGGTATCTCAGTATGAGATAGCTAAGTCATAGTTATGAGATGCTAAGTCATAATCAGTATTCTATCCATCAAAGTTTGAGCCTTTTACTTTTTAGGAGGCCTCCACATTGATGTGACACTCTTGTTTAGTGCAGTTTCATCTGTTTTAGGCTCAGGATCCTGTGGCAGCACATCACCTGCTTCTTTTATTTGTTTAGTTTTTTTCAAGGTGACGTGGACACATGAATTTAGTTTAATTTCTTTTAAATATCAAATGGTTTCCAGCAAGAAATAAAGTAAAACAGAAATAAATCAGACGAAGTGAATGTCCTGTGCATGTGTGGCAGCCATAGAAACATACACACAGGGGGTGGGGGGGTCAGCTTGACACGGTCCTGCAGTTCCGCTCCTGGCCAGAGGGGGAGGCAGCGGGCCGCACGGTGCCCGCCAGAAGAAGAAGGCCTGCGCTCTCGCTCCGGCAGTCCGGGGGCCAGCGGCCATAGCGGCTCCGGGATGACGCAGAGCGGTGCGGCGTTCAGACGGCTGCGCCGGGACGGAACTCCCCTGTAGCCGAACCGAGGAGCCATGTTTGAGAACTTCAGAGAGAAGCTCCAGCTGGTCCAGCAGGACCTCTCCACGGGGTGCGTAGCCTTTCATAGCGGTCGTGTCCGTATTGTTGGGGTGGACCGCGGACCGGAGCCGCTCCGCTCCGGCGGCGGCTTTAGCTGACGGCAGCCCGGGTCCCGGGTCCCGGGTCCCTGGTCCCTGGTCCCGGGTCCCGGGTCCCGCCGGGCGGCTCCGGGTCTGGGTTCAGTGTGTGTCTGAGCACACACACAACAGTGTGATTGCTGTCAGCTGCTGGTCATGTGATGAAGCCTCACGTGCTTCATCTGATCCTAACCCTAGCCCTGATCCTAACCCTAGCCCTGATCCTAACCCAGCTCCAGATCGCAGCTTCAGTCACCTCTTGGTGCTTCACAAATACTGTCCAGCTAATTAGAGTCCAGTTAGTTGTAGTACAATCAACACACTCAATGTGGGCCCCAAGATCCTCCACTGTACTACACATAGTAAAGGAAACAATGAGGAAGTGAAACACTCCCGGAACAGAACTGTCTCAGTGTTAATGTGATGTTGAGCTAACAGGCTCCCAGGATGCCGTGAGCCATGGCCCCAGGACAGGACACATTATCATTCTGCCACAGGGACGAAAAGAAACGTGGAAAAGACTAATGAAGATAGAGGTAGAGCTCAGTCATCTGGTGTGTCAGAACCGAGCAGAAAAAAGCCCCAAAGGCCCACAGCTAAAAGATCAGGGGCTTCTGAGGTCAGAGGTCATTTTCAGTGTGCTTGTTGTTGACGGCTTTCTCTTTAGATAGAAAGTCACATCTTCAGGCCACTGCTCCAAGGCCCAGATTCCCCGCAGTTCACATTAAAAGCCCTGTTTCTCCATCAGGAGGTTTTAAAGTGCAGTTAGCTGAGCCCACGTGCGTGTCCTCCTCTGGGATTTAAAGTGAGAGGGTGCCATTGGTGATCAGCCCACTGAACCTGGCTCCTAGTTCATGCCACTTCCGGCTGAGTGGAAATGGCTCCACAGGCTGGAAAGTGTGGGTTTACTTGGTGCATAACAGGTGTCATGCTGCAGTTCTGCTGTGTTACGCATTTGAATGCTAACTCCGTCCTCATGTCCTCCCCATGTTCTCCTCTTCTGCACCACCTGACCTCAGCCTGAAGACCCTGGGAGACGTCTCAAGAGATGGCAAAATCAGGAGGAGATCAAGGTGACCAGAGCCCTGTGGTTGAGCGTAAACACATGTGTGCAGATGCTAATGTACAGCCAACCCTCTCTTACCGGCACAGGGGGGGTTTGTTTGAATCTCAAAGGGTGCACAGTCCCATCACAGTGCACACATTCAGCCGTCAAACCTTTGGGCCGACCCTAAATGGGCATCAGCCTCTTTCACACACTGTGCCTCTGCCCAGTTTTAGCAAACAGAACCCTGGTGACAGCAGCATTAGCCACATGGAGACCGTTATCCCCCGTCCACTGCTGAGGTGTGGACAGTGAAACCGCTCCTCTTTAGCTTTGAGTGTTTTCTACACACTGTAGCTGTGTTTGCTGCTGCAGCTCGTCTTGGCCAGGGCATTTTAAAATAGTTTTTATTTCCAAGTGAAGTAAAGGTTAATACATAATAAAGCCTCAAAATGTAGATTTGTTCTTTACACTCCTCCGTTGGATGTGCAGACCATACCTCCTCCTCTGTTAAACCACTGAAGCCTTGTCTCTCTCCTGTTCAGGTTTGAAGAGAACCTTCCTCATCTGAGTGCTGGGCTGGGAATCTTAAGCAGGTCTCGCTCTACACACACACACACACACACACACATACACACACACAGACAAAATGCCAGGCAGCTGTCTTCATTAGGGCATTGCATCGTCTGCCTAAAGCTAAGTCCATCTCCTCCAACACCTTCCGATCATTAAACCAGTAACCAGGAGCCCAGTCCTTCTGACTGGGATTCCCATCCTCTAAGCCCCTTGTTTCCTGTCCTACCTTTAACCATCCTCACTGAGTTAATCCTGAGTTTCAGTCAGTTAAAAGTCAGCTTCACTTGATCGTGACACGCACATGATCAAACCCTGTTCATGAGGATGGAAATGTGTGATTGTTTCTCAGGTATGAGGAGAGCTGGTTCCTGCTTCATAAAAGGACTAAGGACTGTGCCCGGGCAGCAGAGGTATGAGCGGTCTTTCTCTTCTCACAGATGTACATGGAATATTAGAGGCGTCCCTCTGTCTGCAGCATGTGTGGCAGGCTAATGCAGGCCTTATGGCTCCTGGAGAACCATTTCCTCCTCTGTTTAGGCAGTAGACGGTGACATCGTGATGCTGTCTGCTCACTGGGAGAGGAGGAGAGCGGCTCTCACTCAGCTCCAGGAGCAGCTGCACAGCCTGCCCAGCTTTGTCAGTGAACTGGATGTCATCACTGCTAACATAGGTATGCGTTCTGAATCCAGCCTCCACAGCAGGGGGCTCCGCTCAGGGTTTGTCCTAAACTTCACCACCCCTTCACAATACAACAGTTTCTTATCCCGTGTCTTTGAGCCGCCCTGAGTACACGTGTTTTCATGGATGAAGCGCTGTATAAAAATGGGATAAAGCTTTCTCTCTCTAAATTTTTTGAAAAAAATCTAAATGATAACCTGATAGAGGGAGAACCTTTACAGCTGGCTCTGCTGGAGCTGAGAAGGCCTTTAACAAGCGTTTTTAACGTGTGGCTGTTTCTCCCTTCTCCCAGCTCATCTGGAGGGGGACTTTGAGGAGATGGAAAGCAGACTGGTGTACCTGGAAACCCTGTGTTCTCAGTGTGAACAGCAGTCTCTCAAAAAGCAGCATATCAGCCAGCTAGAAGCCTACAAGAAGAGGAGAAGGTGGGATAAGTTCACCACGTGTTCTTCAGGAAGCTCTCTCTGTTGATTTATCCCGTTTTTCATAAATTAGTCTAACCAAAACACCAGAGGGCCAAACGTAGCTGGACAGGACACTCTGACATCTGACCTCAGTCCATTCTAAATGAGCTGTGCTCCAGATAAAAGGGCAGTGTTTCTGGACGTGGAACACTGAACCTGAGCTGACTAAATGTGTGTGTGACCTGTGCCACTATATAATGCTGCAGCTAAATCAAAATGGCCTGCACAGCTCACATTACAGGTTTATGTCGACTGGATCAGTCCTGTGTGATGGTAAAAGAGCTGGAGGAGACCAGCCTGTGAAACTTGCTGTCACTTTCTGTGTCTGTCCCACTGGCATAAAACCCATCCACGATGGAAAAGAAGAGTAACACTGTCTAATACTTTTTATTGTGTGTGTCTTGACAGGAAGGAGGTGGAGTCTCTAGAAGGTGAGTTGTGCTGTGTTTTCCATGTCTGAAATCACTTCCTTTAACTGCCAGATTTAGCTGAATTAACTCTGAGACACTTTTCCTAAAAACTCTGTCCGCAAACTGATGTTCCAAACGGTCTCAGCCAATATCGTCAGTGACCTCTGACCACAGCTTTCTGCAGCTTCTTCTCTCATTTTCAGTCCTTTTAGCCCAGCATTTTCAGAGGAATGTGTTTTCTTTTTTTGTTTAGCTTCTTGACTCTGAGATCTGAAACATTCAGGCAGAAAAAAGGCCCCTAACTCAAGGGCTGAGCCCCTCTGTGTTCCACAGCAGAGCAGCAGCTTAAAGTGGATCTTCAGGCTCTTTGTCACAGAGACACATCATCTGTTCTGGAGCTGATGGAGGAAAAAGGCCAAAGAAAACCCAGTCTGACAGACAGGAAACAGAGTTCTCAGGATTCAGAGAACTGCTGGTGGAGTCCTGAAAACATCTGAGGAAACTGGACCAGTGGAGGACAGAAGAAGAAGAGCTGGGCCTAAAAGACTCTGTAATCCAGCACATGAAGAGGATCTGAGAGTGAGAAAAGAGAAGCAGATCCAGCAGAGAGCTGAACCGGAGCTGAGAGCTGCATCTGGACCTCCAGCTGACCATCTCCTGGTGGTCTCAGCAGAAATGCTCTCCCTGAAGGGGGGCTGTCAAGACGTCATAAATGAAGGAAGGAAACGGGGAGGAAAGGCATCGCTCTGCCAGAGGAACCAGAAGTGGACTGAACCCCAGCAGCTCTGATGGAGGGATGGACCCTCCAGAGCCGGAGCTCCACATGATGAAGCAGTGTGAGATCATCTGACAGAGAACGGAGCCAAAGGCAGCAGCAGCTTCCAGAGAAGAGCTTTGGGACGTCCTTCAGGAAGCTGGAGAGCTGCTGCTGGAGGCTCTTTATAGAGAGGACACACGGCTGCTGGGCTCAGGCTGTGTGGGCACTAAAGGTGGTCCTCTCTGTGCCTTAAAACTGTTTTTTCTTATACATTTTGATAAGTCACAGCATGGATTTCCAGCTGAAACTAATAGAAATAAGGGATGCTAAAGGATTTGAGCATGAAAAGTGCTGTACAGATACATTTGCTTTGCTTTGGTTAAGTCATACAGTGTCCTGTAGACTCCAAAAAGACTGTATTTGACATGCTTGACATTTCTTTGACATTTGATGCATTCTTTCTGCAGTAGGTGTGTCTGTGTGTCTTTTATGCTTGCCCTGTTGATGCTTAGCTTAATGCTGCCTTGCATGTCATCCTAAATAAATGTGGTGGTTTAATTTAGTAAAAATCATGTGACTTCTGATCTGCAGTGGAGCTAAATACGGAGCATGCTCAGAGGATGGCAGAACTGGAGCAGGCTGTGCAACAAAAACTGAGAGAACGACAGAAGGTCTATGAGGAAGCATTCTACCAAGACATGGAGCAGTATCTATCCACCGGGTGCCTGCAGCACAGAGGTGAGCTTCATATGAGGGCAGACTGACCAATGACAGGACCTTCACCCTGATGAGAGTGGAGTTGTTCCTCCCACACTTTGGCCACACACCTTTGATAAACCAGCAATTCATCTGGATTTAGACGGCTAAAGTGTGTGGGAGTGGAGAAGGGGCCTGTGTGCTGCTGGACACTCCCCCCGGCTGCCATCTGACACAGACGGTCAGTTCTTACTGTGTGGGTTCACAGGGTCAGCAGGACCTGATGTGGCTCTTTTGGATCAGATGACCATCACCAACATATCAGACCAGGAAGCTTTGGATGACTTCTTGAATTCCACTGGAGATGATGTCAGCACTGGATCTTCACTGACCTCAGGTTACTTCAAATCTTTGACCCAAGTGTGAATACGAAAGATCCTGATTTGTTTGATGGGGCTCTTGTCTTTTCCTGGCTTGAAAAACATTGCGAGGCTGATGACACATGGCACAGTATCGGCTTCTCTATGGTTCCTGCTCTTCTGGGGGATGTGAGCTCCCTAGTAGTCTAGGGCTGGTCCCCTCCTATAACATGCCAGCTTTACAGGCCTCATGACTGGTGTATGGGGAGTGAGTAAACATCAGGGGCCCAAATCCCCATCCTGCAAACAGCAGGCCCACTTAGGCCAGCTCCCCAAAGCTCAGCCCAGCTGGTGCTCCTCTGACTGGACACCACCTATGACCCACACCTCTTCTCCAACAGGGCCAGACCTGGAATCCTGCTCTTCTGAATCACTGGAGCAGGCCCCTCTGACCACCCCAGAACGAGCAGACCAGGGAGCAGCGTGGCAGCAGGAGGAGGAGGGCGAGGAGCAGCTGGTGCAGCCGGACGAGGAGGACGTGCAGGCCGACACCTCTCTGGTCGGCCTGCAGGACATGGGTCAAGTGTGGGGCTCTGACGAGAGCGACGAGAGCGGTGCCCCGCTGAAGACGTGAGGAGTGGGCTGGGGCCCGGTTTCCATCCCCTCACTGCTGAACACTTTACTTTACTGTCCACAAATGGTTAGTTTAACAGACAAATGAACAAGGTGTGCTCATCCACATGTAATCGGCATCCCAAACCTGATGTCTCATAGTTCAGGCATTGCTCAGTATTGTCCCCATCAAAGCTTCATATTGAAATGTGAGACCATTCCCATTCTTGATCAGTGTACTATGGAAATACATGGTACAGCTGCCACCGGCCCCTAGGCCACGTGGGCCCGGGGCCAGGGCAGGCCTGCTTTTAAGATGAGTCCAGTTATGTATGTTGAGAAGCTCCAGTTCCATCTGTTCTGCAGCGGGAGCACAGCTGCGTCCACTGGTTTGGTCAGCGCTGTCCTCTGGGGCTCTGCTTTACCTGACCCGGAGCGAGGGGACGAGTGGCTTTGGTGTGCTGAGTCCTGCTCTGCCATGCACCCCTGCTGGCTGCCCCTCCATTTAGGCTGTTGGGCAGGCTGAGCACAGTCCACTAGTTTCCTTTGAATGTGTGACCCACCAGCCTCCTGGTGAGCGGGGTGTGGTGGCCTCAGGCTGTCTCACATCTTATGCAGCACCTCTGCCCAGTAGTTTAGAGAGGATCGCTATTTTCTCTTTTTTGTGAGCAGTTAAGGTTCTCAAAACATCAGAGAAAATCATAAATGCTTTGGTTCTTTGTTTATTTGAGTTGCCTGCTCTGCACAAAGTTCCACAGAGTTATCCAATCTTTGCTTCCTGTGCTTCCTTAATAAACCTTTTCAACTCAACGTAGTCTGGACATATTTTCTGTCACCCCCTTTAACCCCAGCCAACCAGGTCCTGAGTCTTCTCTTTTTTCCCAGCCACATGGTAACAGAACTTGTTTCCTAACACAATGCGTTTTTTCACACATAGAGAAATCCTAACTCTTTGTATTTGAGTTCTACTTTATTTTTTGGTTAGGCAGAGACATTAAATGTATGATTCTATTTTTCCTTACAAAAATAAAAATCTCTCGGCTGATGGGGTAAGGTGGCATAGAATGGAAACAAGTTGTGTACCTTTTGGGGCTTCTCATCCTGGACTACAGACTTTTCTCCAACTTTTCCAAGGTTTTAATTTGTCACTTTAGTAACATAGGTCACGTCACAGGATTGGACCAATCAAAAGCTGTACTCAGAGTTAATGGATCTATGCAAAGATGGTCAACTGCTGATGCATTGATCTGGATCAGGAAACCCCTAAAGCCTGCAGGACAGTGGCCCCGAGGACCAGTTTCTACGCCCTGCTATGAGGTGCAGCTAGTAGCTGGCAGAGTGCTTCACTGGTTCACAGAGAGGGCTCTCAGTGGGAGTGGAGTGGAGGGGGCTTTGTGGGGCTCCACATTTTCTGTTCTCCACTCAATGGAAGAAAAGCCAAGCCAGTCTTTTTACATGGCAGACTTCTCACAAAAGGAAATCTGGGATTTATCATTTCTTTAGTAAATGTGTGGAAAATAACACAGTCTGTTATTTTGCAACAAGGGGAGTTCTGTGGAGCCCCTTTCTCCTGTCTGCTCCTCCACATAACCAGGATTAGATCTTTTTATGTCGTGATTATGAGATACAGAGGGACCCTCCTCATGGTAAAGACCAGTTCTCTGAAAACCTGGCCCCTCAGCACGGTCCCTGTTTAGAGCCTCTGAGGAGCGGGACCCGGGTTTTGCGGACCCGGGTGGAGCGGGTCCGGTTTTTGCGGACCTGGGTGGAGCGGGTCCGGGTTTTGCGGACCAGAGTGGAGCGGGTCCGGGTTTTGCGGACCCGGGTTTTGCGGACCCGGGTGGAGCGGGTCCGGGTTTTGCGGACTGTGGCGGTGGAGCCAGAGGGCGGCGGTACTCCCACCAGAGGGCTCCTGAAAGCCTGAAGAAGAAGGCGGGCCAGGGGGCCGTCTTAGCCCGGATCAGCAGCTTGTCCGCGTCGGGCCCACACCATGAACATGCTCCGTGCTGGCCTCTCCCGGGCTCTGCCCCAGCTCACCGGGCCCTGCGCCCGCCACCTGTCCGCCGCCGCGCTGCCCCTGCCCAGCGGCCAGCCCCAGGTCCACTACGACAAGGTAGGCTGCCCGGGAGGACCGGGACCCGGGAGGACCGGAGCCCGGGAGGACCGGAGCCCGGGAGGACCGGGACCCGGGAGGACCGGGACCCGGGAGGACCGGGACCCGGGAGGACCGGGGCCCGGCCCGACCCCCGGTGGTGTGAGGACGTGTTTGTTGAAACGGCAGCTAGCTGGAGGGGGGCTTTTCGGGGGAAGCATGTTTTGTAAGTCTGAAGGAAGGCCCGGTCCAACTTCTGCTCAGGTCCGGATCACTGGGCCCAAAGCAGCTGGCCTCCAGAGGTCCAGGTCCTGGGCCAAACCCGCCCCGTTTTACAGGCAGGTCCTGATCTGTGATCCCTATGGATGAAAGCAGTCCTGACATGGTACCAGGACCGTGGTACCAGGCCCAGGCTCACATGACCCGCCCCGGGAGATTTTGAAGTCCTGCAGCTCCACATGACCCCCTGAGGGTCCGAGCCCACATGACCTCATCAGACATGTGACTGTGGGCGTGGGCTAAGTGACGGTACCAAAAGGTCCAGTCCGGGTTCTCCTAAAAGGACCCGTCACCCGGGTTCTCCTTAAAGGACCCGTCACCCGGGTTCTCCTTAAAGGACCCGTCACCCCGGGTTCTGGAGCGACCCGACCCAGCACACACAGATTGTCATCCTGAAATCAGTGAAGGCATGCCTGCTTAAATGTGTCTTTGCACATGTGGAATGATCTCTTTCTCTTCCAGTTGTTCATAAACAATGAGTGGCAGGACGCACAGAGCGGGAAGACCTTCCCAACCATCAACCCAGCCACGGGGGAAGTCATCTGTCAGGTAGCAGAGGCTAATGAGGTAAACCATCAGAGCTGTGTGGGTAAATGAAGGTTTATCGGTCTTAATGTGGTCTAATCACTGTTCCCCACCGGATGCAGAGTAGGGCTGGGGAAGTGTCTGTGTTTTGAGCTACTACAGAGAGCTCTGTCTACAAAGCTCCAGCTTTGGGAAGACAGTTTAGTTACTGGTATTTCCATTTTGCCTCGTGGAACTGCTTTCAGTGAATGATAAACTGGTGAAAAGGGTTAACCCGTTCTCCCAGCCTCCTGGGCTGTAAAGGAGGGGGCAGATACCTCATCTGGGACGTATGTCAGGCAGTTGTTCAGGATATTGGGCAAATAATCCAAAGAGTTTTTCCTGCCCCTTTGGTCTAATTTCTGTCCTCAGCCTTGAAGATGTGATGGGTAAAAACAGTTCCTTGAGCCAGTATTCCTTTGTGCCGCTGAATCAGATAAGGTCCGCTGGGCAAAGGTCTGTGTGCACACCTCTCCTGACGTCAGCATCTGTCCTTTAGCTGCCCTGAAGGCCCTGAAGGCCCCCACAGAGCAGCAGAGCCTTCCACCTCTCTGAGCTTAGATTCTCAGCACAACTTTTAGCTTGAAATTGAATGGACAGAACAGTCATGCTCATCGTGCTCATCAGGGTTTGCAGCGTAAACAAAGCCACGCGTGGGCATTTCAGGTCTTTCCATATCAAACTGAATCTAAAATACTGCAAAATATGAAGTAAGTTCTGTTTTAAAACTATTGATTTGAGAAATTCCTTCAGTAAGTGAGTTTTTCTGATCTATTATCTATTATATAAATGAGTAGGTTACTGATTAAGCTGTAAGTCTGTAGGGACAAAGGGAATGGCTCCTTCACCTCTCTGCACTCCAAAGCATTACTGGCTGAAATGATGCTGCAAAGCAAAGTCTCATAGGTTACACTCACTTTACAAGTCAAATATTTTGTCCGTGTTATGAAGGGATTGTTCAACAGGGAAAAGACTCATTGGAGAACACTAAATATTTTAGGCCCACTGAGCTCCCTCCTGCTCAGACAGCACTGCCACAGTGTCAACACAGAACCCGTGACCACAGATAAGGGCTGAAGCTGGACCTGTGAAACTTTGCCCTTAGCCTAGCTATGTCTTCCTATTGTTGCCCTAGTCAGGTGGTTTTGTAAGATCTAGATTAATACAGGAAGGGGTTATTTGCTATCATAAATTAAAAAAAAAAAAGGTTTGCTTTTTCATCGAAAATGTTCTTTTCTACAGGAGCAGCTTACAGAGGCAGAGTCTCAGAGCAGAGGTCGACACATCTCATTTAAACCATCTGCACAGAGAATCATGTTTGTCTCTTTTTTCTCCTCCAGGTGGATGTGGAGAAGGCAGTGAAGGCAGCCCGGGATGCCTTCAGGCTGGGCTCGCCCTGGCGGCGGATGGATGCCTCCCACCGCGGCCTGCTGCTGCACAGACTGGCTGATGCCATTGAGCGGGATGCTGCCTACCTTGCTGTAAGTACTGACTGAGGGTGAAATCCTGCAAAGGGAGGCCCTGGATCCTCTTTGATACAGCATGCAATAGATAACTGTGGCGTATACGTGAGCACAACCACAGGAGAAATGGGTCTCAGGGGCTCTCTGGAGAATGGGTACGTGCACACATGAGCAGCACTCACACAGTAGCGCTTACATGGGCCCCTCCTGGGATAGCCCTGATCTAACTGAGGACGTGGAAGGTGGGAAGTGAGGATTTAACTGAATGACTTTGGTGGAGAACAGGACAGTCTACTCCCTCTGCCACAGCATTTAGACTTTTGAATGAGGTTGACACACCTCATTAAGGTAACACCTGGGGCCTCCCTACACGCCTGGTAATGATGTCCTTTACCCCTGCATGAGACCCAGACCTGAAACCTGAGCACAGTAACAACAGATGTTATCGATTCTGATTTCAGGATTTTCAAGGTTGATGATTTGTAATCGTGTTCCCCATCATAGTGCTTTAAGCAGGCTAATCAAAGCACCCATCCCATCTTCCCCGCAAGAATGTCCAAACTGGGCCGTTTGCTCAAATTGATGTTGAATATTGGTTGCAACATATGTGGATTAAAAAACAAAGGTGGTGAAAATAGGATTGCGGATGTGTACACCACCTGGTCAAAAAGCATCCCTTTCTGGACATGTTACCACACATTCACCTGCTAATTATCCATTGTGTTTTGTATTGCATGACCTGACATCATTTAAGTTTCCTTATGTTTCTCTTCAAGCTTTGATTTATATGCATGGACATTGGTTGTGTTATTACCACAGGAGCTGGAGACTCTGGACAATGGGAAGCCCTATGCAGTTTCCTATGCTGTGGACATACCTACTGTGGTTAAATGTCTAAGGTAACAATCATTAACAGTTACTCTAAAGGGAGAGCATATTCTCTACCCAAATGGCTAACTCTGCTCCCTCCTATACTGACATAATGAGGTCTCGGCATGGCTCGGGCTTGTTCCCCCCTGGCAGCTTCACCTGTGCATTCACAGCCCTCACCCTTCTGTCCCCTTCCCTCTTCAGGATGGCCTCTGTTTCTGTAATCTATGGCTGATAGGACTCAGAGTGAGCACTTGGAAGATGCCCAGTTGTAACTTGATGGGTCAGGCCTGCCCTTATTTCTTTCCCTCTGTCTTTATCCTCTAAAGCCGGGGTCTCAAACTCAATGTGGGCCGCTGGGTCTGGGTGAGCCTGGGCCGCATTAGGTGTTTCACAAGAAAAGCTCTGATACAAACATTCCACTGTTCTCAAATATCTTTATTTTTATACATAAAATAAGATGAACAAAAAAATAAACAAATTCAGAATGAATAAGAAAATAAATCAGTCAGTAATAAATAAAATAATTATAATAATACTAATATAGAAGACTTAAGAAACCACATATAGTTGGTGAGTAGAGAAATCTAATGATTATCATTCAGATTCAAATGTGTGTATTAATAGTTCTTTTAATAGTTCTTTTCTGAACATCAATGGAAGTTGTATTCCTTAGAATCGCAACTTTCTTTGTGCATATAAGACCCTGTGCTCCACAAAGAATATTGAATTTCCCACTTTTCCTGAAATTGTCTGTGCTCATCAGCAACCTTTCCCTTCACTGCAGGCTTTGAAAAAGACATGTACGGGCCTGTGTAATCTTTAGAATTCCACTTGGTGTAGATAACATCATTCCTGCTGGTACCAGATCGGCTCAGGGTCACGCGCCTGCATATGACGTCGAGCACGGCACAGTTAGTGAGTGGTTGGAGGTCAGAAACCATGGAAACACTAAGTGTTTGTGGTGCCCAGGTGGTTCCCGTTTAGCATTTAATTAAATGAATAAAAAGTTTAATCAAGTTTGAAAAGTTTGTCTTGTGGCTACACACAACTCGCCACACATCCCAGGTTTTAATGAAAGGTTGACCATTAAAAACATGGAGGCACACATGGTCTTTTTGCTTATTTTAAGTGAAGGCCAAGAGTTTTCACCCACTTGTCCAGAAAACTTCTAATAGCAGGCTATGCACTGCATGTAACATGCTCTGGACAAAGGCACCAGCTAACTCGTGGCTACTCAGTTTACCGGGTTAGACACATGTTGCTCATGAGGGACAATAGGTGACTGTTAGAACTGGTTTTGGATGGCTCAGCCTGTGGCAGAATCATGGTAATGCATCGTGTGCCACACAGATGGGATAAACCCCCATGTGTTTTGTTGTAAAGTGATTGTACCATCTCATAAAACCATCATTTATTTGTGTTTTTAGGTACTATGGAGGCTGGGCTGATAAGTGGGAGGGGAAGACCATCCCCATTGACGGAGATTATTTCTGCTACACCAGACATGAGCCGGTTGGAGTCTGCGGGCAGATAATACCGGTATGTGTGTTCTTACTGTGAAAAAGGGCTAAATAGATTTCCTTTAAGATCACAGCGCAGAGCATTAAAAGTACAGTGCTCCTCTTCCAGAGGTCCAACAGGTGGTGTCGTGAGTTCCAGATGTGTACAGCTGTTAGAATAGGAGGGAATGCCTGGGCTAAGCTTTACCTCTGTCTGTTTGAACCTTCCTCCCCGCAGTGGAACTTCCCTCTTTTGATGCAAGCCTGGAAGCTGGGGCCAGCCCTGGCCACTGGGAACACGGTGGTGATGAAAGTCGCAGAGCAGACCCCGCTCACAGCGCTCTATGTAGCCAGCCTGATCAAAGAGGTATTCCTTCTTCTTGTCTGGATTTACTCCACTTCACGGCATGTGACTTGACAGGAGATCTGACTAAGCATGTTGGGATGCAGTTGGTCTGGGTCTGAAGTTCTTGTTCATACAGAGTGTTTCAGGGCTTTGTATCCACACTTCAGTGTTCTGCACAGGGGTAGCCTACGGTTTTAGAAAGCAGATTTTGATGAGCTGTTCTTGGCTGGTGTCATTTCCAGGTAGGTTTTCCTGAAGGTGTGGTGAACATCTTACCTGGAATGGGGCCATCAGCTGGTGCAGCCATTGCCAGACACATGGATGTTGACAAGGTGGCCTTCACCGGGTCCACAGAGGTAGGACAGCTTCTTGTAGTTGTCCCTTTCTTGTTTTCTCATCAAATGTTTGGATTGGATATTGTCTTGTAGGATGTTTTATAATAAAACTGATAAGAACATAACCCTGCTCTTATCAAGTCCTCCATCTGGAAGTTTTGGCCCAGCAAGCCAAAGCGTGCTTTCTGGTCCCGCCAGGCTGAAAAGACAATGAGGAGATCATGTGTCCTTTCATGGTGCCAGCTTTTCATGGGGCCACTGAGTTCCTCCGTTCATCTGTTTTCTGTGTCTCTGTCCATCAGGTGGGTCATCTCATCCAGCAGGCTGCAGGCCTCAGTAACCTGAAGAAAGTCACCTTGGAGCTGGGAGGGAAGAGCCCAAATATCATTCTGTCTGATGCCAACAGTATGTACCATCAGGCACTGACCGTGCATCCTCCATCCTCCCTTCATCGACCTAACGGATGGTTGGATGGACTTCTCAGGAATATTGTCTTAATGGAAGTTCTGTATATTCTCAATCTTTTCTCGTTCAGTGGAAGACGCCGTGGAACAGTCCCACTTCGCTCTGTTTTTCAACCAAGGCCAGTGCTGCTGTGCCGGCTCTCGAACCTACGTCCAGGCGGACATCTACGATGAGTTTGTGGAGCGCAGTGTTGAGCGCGCCAAGAGGAGAGTGGTGGGAAACCCGTTTGACCTGAAGACCGAGCAGGGCCCTCAGGTAACACCAGCCCCCACTGAAAAGATCCTGGAGTCCTCAGACTTTGGCACGCCCCCCTGTGTTACACCCTGCTCCCCTCTGGCCATGCAGGTAGACCAGGAACAGTTCAACAAGATTCTGGGATACATCAGCAGTGGGAAGAGAGAGGGCGCCAAGCTGATGTGTGGAGGCGGAGTGGCTGCAGACAGAGGATACTTCATCCAGCCCACCGTGTTCGGAGATGTCCAGGACAACATGACCATAGCCAGGGAGGAGGTAGAGTTGGATCATTTGATATGCCTGATGAGACACTAGCCTCCTCTTTAAATGCTTTGTCTGGGCTGTAGGTTAGCTCACACTGATATTGATTTGACGCTCTTCTTATATCAATAAAGGAAGTCTTCCTCAAGCAAACTAGACTAACTAGACAAGGCAGCATCCTTGCTCCTGACACAGTTTCCTCTTCATGTTTTGTCCAAGGTTTCTATTCTTCGACCATGAAAAATCTCCTAGTGATGAGCAGTCATTTCCCTCTCAGTATCGATGTTCTCCTCATCCAAAAGGTTTTTATTTCCTGCAGATCTTTGGTCCAGTGATGCAGATCTTAAAGTTCAAAACATTGGAGGAGGTGGTAACAAGAGCCAACGACACCAAGTACGGACTGGCAGCTGCTGTTTTTACCAAGGACATCGATAAAGCCAACTATGTGTCCAATGGGCTCCGGGCTGGCACCGTCTGGTAAGGGGGCCATTCCCAAATCCTTTCTGCCAGCCAAAGGCTCTCGCATATGAGAGGAGGGTGGCTAATGTGGGACACACTGTTACAAACCGCCTCAGAGCTGTAACGCTTGTGTCTGTGTGTTCCTCTGAAGGGTAAACTGCTACGACGTGTTTGGTGCTCAGGCTCCATTTGGAGGGTACAAGGCCTCAGGGAATGGCAGAGAGCTGGGGGAGTACGGCCTGGAGAACTACACCGAAGTTAAAACGGTGATGACCAACACACACCTCTGTGCAGCACCAGTCAGTGGCTGGCATGTTGATAGAATGAGCAGCTTCTAAAGCCTTATCCATTTCCATCACCTTCTTACAGCAATCACTGAAAATGATCAGTTAACCGACAGCTATTGTGGGAAGGGTTTGTTTTTCTGCTACAGCTCAGACAGGGATTTTTATTTTTGTCAGATACACAACCTGATAAATTAGTGCTAGGATGGTTTTAATTAATAAGCAGCATGATATCAGGCTTTGACTATTTGGGTTTAAGCATTTTAAATAATTTTTATCAACTCAAATACATGTTGTTTGACATGAAGTTAACCCTTTAACACAGAGCTGCTGGTCCATTCTGTCTACTTTCAAAGGATGGAGGAGCTTTTGTCCATTTGTCAAGAACACTTGGAACTTTAAAAAATCTGCATTTTAAATGGTGTTTAAGTGAAGAACCATGCAGCAGTGAGGGAGGCTGGTTCACTGGCTAACGGCAGGGCCAGGACTCGGCTGGGAGTGACACATGGTGGTTGTGAGCCTCTGGAAGGCGTGGCCTGGCCTTTGTCCCACAGAGCAAAGCTGTACCGGCTCCCTCTGTGGGAAACTTCTTTTAACGGCTTATTTTCTCTGTACTGACATGCATGCCTCCAGGTCCCAACCCCCATACAGATACGAGTAGAGATCAACATATACCCCAGTCCCTTCGACTAAGGATCAGTCCTGCTAATGAAGTGTTCCTGACGGTCTTTCATGTCTTGGATTCTCTTGCCAGGTGACCATCAAGGTGCCACAGAAGAACTCTTAGGTGTTGATCAGGGCCTGCCCTCCTGACTGCTGCTCCCAGGAGGCTTCTGCGATGAGCCCCATTGTGATTTGGATCTTCTGATTGTTCAGAATAATTCTGCCATTTCCTCATCAATTGCACAATGCAGACTGCTCTATAAAGTTTTTTTAGGCATTGAAAATGCAAAAAACGATTAACATCCAGAATGATGAAAGCTGGGTCCTTTAGAGCTGGCTGAAATGCTTTCTCTGGAGGTCTGAATCTTTTTTTAGAAGATGCCTCTGTGCTCCACTAGAGGACAAATCAACAGCCTGTAGTCTCTAAGCTTTGTTTTTCAGCTTCCTAAAATTTCCTAATAAATGCATTTAAGAAACTCTGCATCCTGATATCTTGTTTTCCAAATTATTTCTTCTCTTCTAGATGCATTTGTATCTTTTGGATGGATGTTCCCTTCTCTAACAGTTCCCTCAAACCCCTTTATTTTGGAATTTGTTTTGGCATTAAAAATGTAAAGGTAGATAGAATAGCCTGTAAAAACCAGCTGGTATGACCACACGTCCGCGATTCAGGTGTAGCTTTTTATTAGCCGTCCCATCGGAGCACAGTGTCAATGTGAGAACCTTCCTGAGCCTCTGGAACAAATGTTAGGCGGGCATTGGAGTAATTCTTGAGATTGCTGTGTTTTAATTCAGAGAAAATCCTGACAGGACTGACATTTCAGTGATCATCCTCTCCCAGTCATTCCATGAAGGTCTAGATCTATTTACCTAATACCTCGTGTCACTTGACCTCCCTGCAAAGTGTTTTTGCTCCATCAGTGGAACACTAGTGCACCCCTCGGTACCACAGCACCCATTAGTAGTCCAGCTAGACCTGAAAAGGACTTTAGGTTAGTGGCTAACATAACAGCTACACCCAGACTACAGCTTCACAGCATAAACCACAGGCAGAAGAAACACTCACATCCTTCAGTCTGTTGCTTGGTCACTTTATGGTTTAGTGGAGAGATGATCAGGCCTGCTGAACAACAGGCGGTGTGTCAGCTCCAGTTCAACTCCAGCCGGCTGTGCTCCCACAAAGCCAGAGCTCTGCCCGCCCCATCCTGGCCACACCTCGGTCCACAGCCGGTCAGTCCTCTGGGTGCTCCCAGAGTCCGGCACGCCGCCACTGACGGTGACCACGGCTGAATGATGCTCCGATCCAACACTCACACGCGGTGTCAAAGAACCAGAGACCTCTTTCTGAGCCTTTACTCCTCCACCAAACTGATTAAGTGCTTCATCTTCTTGTCCAGAATCAGACTCTGCCCCCCGTACTTCACAGACCAGATGCCTGGGGCCAGCAGAGTGAGCAGGCTGGTCTGGCTCTGACCCTCTGCTCTGCAGGTCATCATCTCCACCTGCAGCTGCAGCCGGTAGGCTGAGAGGCACGGGGTGCACCACCTTATCAACACACTGGATCTGCCCCGCCCACGGGACGGCCTCCAACTCGAGCCCCGACTGGAGCCCGGCCTCTGCTGACACTCTGAGGTGGGGGGCAGCGCGCCCGTCGGCCTCAGGGGTGGGGGGTCGTCTCCCTGTCTCCCTCACGCCAGGAGCAGATGTCACATTCTGAGGACTGAAGGCCTCTGCGTCAACATCCCGTCTGCTGACGACACCCTCCTTTTCATGCTGAACTTCTCCAGTTTCTGAGCTGCAGCTGGCGCAGGGCGGGGGGGCGGGGCTGGGACCAGCAGCACCATGCTCATCTGACCCGATACCTGAGGTGTCATTTCTCAGGTCAGTCCCCCCAGAGCCCTCTGCTCCTCTGGGTCTGAACACAGCTCTCCCTGAATCGTTTCTAAAAGCGGGGGCCCCGTCACCGGCCTGAGCAGGATCATTGTAAGGTGGTCCGCCTTCATCTGACATGACCCCCGGTGCCGGCCCCCCCTTCAGCTGGCTGGACGGCTGCTCAGACAGCGGCTCTTCACCCCCACGCGCCCCCTCCTCTGATGTGCTGGGCTGGCCCACCACCGCCACCTTCCACTTCATTTTCTCAGAGAAGTCTCCTGTTTTTTCCTCCTCACTTCCAGTCTGGATCTCCTGTGGAGAAGTCTGAAGGCCTTTGTGGTGCACATCCATTCTGCCCTTCATCTTCTCTTCATCCTCCTCGGCTGGAGGATGCATCTCTGCCATCTTTGGTTCTTTGTCTTTTTGGCTCACAAGCCAGCCCAAACTATGGACTCTGCTCTCCTTAGGGACTGGGGAGAATAGACACAGGACAACAGCCAGTTACTGTACATGTCTCTTAAATGAGGATTAGACCATGTTACATAGAACAGAACCAGCTATACTGTGATTAGTATAAAGCAGTGCTGGTCTTTGTTCCTGAGATGTTTGTTTCAGTAACCAGCTGATGAGGTATGATCAGTTCCCTCTGATGACGCTGAACTTACCGCCCCCCGTGTCCGAGCACACAGATTCACAGCAGGAGCACACCGATGGTGAGGCGGCCAGCTCCTCCCACCTGCACAGCAGACAACGCACCAGACCATTAGCACCAGTAAACACAGTTAAGCAGCACAAGTAGCACAGTCGTGTTTGGTTTTGTTAAACGAGAGCTGAACGAGTGCCTCTGCATCCGTCCACACACACAGGTCTGCTGTGGTCAGAGCTGAAGGCAGCACAACCAAAGCCTTTGAGCTTTAGCTCCACAGGAGCGTTTTCCAGCCAATCAAGCATACTGGGTTGGCAATATCACGATATAATTGAGTCAATATTTTGCATTAATGTTCAAACAACAGAGAACTGAAAACATAAGAAGTGACCGACCTGCCAGAGGCCTCGTGGTAAGTGCAGGACTTTGCGATGTGGGAAACACCAAGACTGACTGACAACGAACAGTGGAGGTACTGGACCTACACAAACACACAGCGGTTAAAACGACCACGGCATCATTAATGCTCTCACACTTTGTTTCATCAAGCCATCCTCATTTGGGCTCAGCAATCCCAACCATCCCCAAACTGCTGTCCTCTTAATATCTTCATCTAAGACTGGGATGCTCGTGTGGTGTGGAGCTGAGAGGGCTCGTGTTTAACAATTACTCTAGAAATGAAGTCTGTTCATGGAGCCTAAACGGGCTGCCTCTATAGAACCAGTGGCATTTCCTCAGGCCTCAGAATTGTTTTTAAAAAGCTAAATTATTTGGAATCACCACATTAAGTTTGACAGAAAACCTTTGACCCTTAAATGACCCAAGGTTTTTGTGGAAACTTAAAACTATGCGACCACATGAATAGATGCAGCTGTAAAGCCCCGCCCCCCAGAAACTTACACTAAATAACCACAAATCATTTTACCTGTGAGACTCCTCTGAACAGAAAAGAATCCACAGAGAACTTCAGCACGCCGGCCCCTCCCGACAGAAACTGGGAGCTGCTGCCCCCCCTCCGGCTGTCCGCCATGCATCTGCAGCGAGGACACACAGGCTGAGCAACACACCCGGGCAAAGAGCACACAAACAAAGCTATCCAACGCGTAGGCCTGTTCTCACACACCCAAAGTTGCTTATGATGTCCACCCTTGGCAAGCCGTCGGGATCTTCAGAGCTGGTGGCATAACAGGAGTCCACAAAGAGCCTCTCCCCAGACAAGAGAGCTCCAGCCTGAGCCATCAAATACACCGATTCCCCCAAAGAGAAACTGTGGCCTGGAGCCAGGGGCTCCCACTGGGCTGACACACACAATGAAAGAAATCTCTCATCTTTAGTGATTAAGATGGATATGCACCCCATTGTACAGTCAAACCGATTTAATGACTCATTGATTTATTTTAAATACAAAAAATTGACCAAAAAGATTAGTAGTGATAGTCAAGCTCAATATGTGATAAGAAAAAAAGATGATACTTACCATTACAGACAGTGAGACTGAAGGCTAGTTTACTTTTGAGACTCTTCAGTAAGGTGGTATGCTGAATTTGGGGTCTGAAGCCAACTTGGTAAGAATAATGAAATCTGAAACATGGAAAGATTACTTTGAACACAACAGGGACATGAAAACGGCAGCAAAGGGAAGAGAGTTGCATGATGGGAGCCCCCCCTGAAACACAGCTTTATCTAAATGGAAGTCTGAACAGAAGGTGGTTTTCTGCTCCCTCTGAGGCAGGAAGCTCCTCCTTTGGAGACCAAAGAAGGCAAAAAGCCGTCTGAAATTAAAACACTGAAGAGCTCTAAAACCAAAGAAAACCCATCCAGTATTGAGCTGGTCTGGATTCAGATGAGGGAAATCCTCCAGCTCTTTAAGAAAAGCTGGAGGTGGAAGAGCTGACTGCTCTGTCTGTCCAGGTTTCTGAGATGAACTGAGTCTCATCAGCCTAACGGAGGAAGTTTCTGCTGTCTGATGATGTTCCTTAATGGAAGCAGCTGGGAAGGAAAGACCCTGCTGGGGAGCAGGAGTCTTCACCTGCAGCTCTGAGGTCCAGCAGATCCAGCTCAGTCCACTACCAGAGGCTCACAGGAGGTCTCTGTTCTGTGCCCTCATCAGCTCCCAACCCAGACTCAAACTTTTTCTGTAGAGATGAGCACCAAGCTGAGCTGCAACTACATCAGCTAAACTAGATTTTACTGGAGTAACCATGTCACACACGACCTTTCACACAATCTAGATGTAGGCGCTACACAGAGATGCTTAGCACTGAATCCACATGACAAGCAGAGCCCCAAGAGACCAATCAGGATAGCCTACATCAAATAGCCCTCGACAAATGACAAAGCAAGCAGGGAAAACCCAACCACAGACCTCACCTTGTCAGACCCTGTCACTGAGCTTTGCCCCCTCAAAAATGGACTAGTCTACCTCAACTCCTCTGAGCTCCGGACAGGAGAGGGCGAGGCCCGGGCTGGAGGCAGGGAGCGCCGGACACTCTGGCCCTTTTCCTGCTGGAGGACTGAAAGAATTACCTGTTGTAATGGCAGTGGATTGGAAAGTTGAGAGGAAAAAGTCTGATGACATGGCCCTGTGGAGGTGGAGTGTAGCTCATTGTGTAGGTGTACACCAGCTGACCACCAACAACCTGCAAATGACCAAAAGCAAATAATCACTCATTCTGATTCATTTGAGAGGCCTAATGCTTCTAAAATCTAATTCATCAAACCTAGCATGCTATTGCTTTAAAATAGGGTTAGGATCTGCAGGACCCCCCAGCGTCTGCAGCCAGATGCTGCAGACTTTCTGAAGCCTGTTGTTAGGGTCCCCTGCTCTGCTATCAACTGTTGGACCAGCAGCATCAGAACCAGGGACCTAAAAACCCGATCCAGAAGCTGGTTCTGTCCCGGGGACCACTGTGGAACCTCTGGAGATGATGAGGATGATGATGATGCAAAGAAGGGTTTTGCATAAAATCAAGAACATTATGGACAACCCTGAGCGTCCTCTCCATGAGTGTGGAACTGGAACCCAGAGTCTCTTCAGTCAGAGGCTGCTTCAGACTGGTTGGAAAATGACCCACTACAGAAGGATCCTGCCCACAGGGATCATAATCTATAACAACTCCTGAACTAAATGAGTTACACCAACATTTAACTTCCTTCTGGGATCGATGAAGTGTTCTTTCATTGAAATGTTGAGAAAGCCTCTGACTCCACTCATCTATTTTCATGGCTCATCCTCTTTGGACTCAGATCAAACTGTAGACCTGTCCATCAAAGCAGACTCCACCTGGAACTGGAGTCTGGTGTGTGTGTGTGTGCGTGTGTGTGTGTGTGTGGGTGTGTGTGTGTGTGTGCTGTCCTGACCTTAGACTCTCCGGCGCACTCCCCCAGGCCGTAGCTGAAGTGCACGTATCGGGCCGTGACCTGGTTGGCCTGGCACGAGCCCAGTCGGAACCGGGACGGCACGGTCCAGGCCCGCAGCTGGAGGCGGTCCAGGCGCACGCGGACCGAGTCCGGCCCGCACCAGACCTCCACGGCGCGCGCGCCCCCGTCCTCCAGCCCCTGCTCGTGCGTTGTGGGCGGTATGAGCAGCGTGGAGAGCCCGGCCGGGAGAGCCGTTTTGTGGGGGACCGGCTGGAACAGCTGCGGGGGGACCAGGGGCGCCGGCGCGTGCAGGAAGGTGGGCAGCCGGTGGAACGGGGGGCTCTGCGGGGGCTCGGCCTCCAGCCACGCCTGCTGCGGGAGCGGAGCCCCCAGCGTCGCCCCGAACAGGCTCCACAGGAGCCCGACAAGCACCAACATGATCCCAGAACAGGGCTACAAGACCAGCGAGACCCGGGACAAGTCGGGAGCACGAGAGCCTGGTGTGCACCAGCTCATGTGGGCACGTTCCGGCCTCATTATCACACCTGCTGCAGCAGGGGGGGGGGGCGGCTCATCGTCACCCAGCACTGGACTCCACTTAGAACCCACTCAGACCTGCTTTAGTTTAGGTGGTTTTCCTTTACTAATGAGGGCAAACAGAAACAGCATCATTTATACGCAAGACAACAATGAAGGACATAAAGTGGCACTTTAAAAACAAAACTGAAGTGAGGTCAAAGTTTATTTTAAGCTTACTGTCTTAAAAAGGTGTAATAAGAGAAGACATGAGATTGGGGAGCTCGCTATGGACAGCGTGTCAGCTGGCCTGGGTCAGGGTCAGCCCGACACGGTCAGCCTCCAGCCGGTAGGGGGCAGTGGTTCACAGGTCGGGTGTACGAACCACTAGTACCGACATTACGAGGGGGGGACGAAGAAGAAGAAGAAGAAGAAGAAGAAGAAGAAGAAGAAGAAGAAGGGCGCATCAACGAAGAAAATTTGCACAAGTTAGCATTTGCTCTCATTCCTGGGCCTGTTATCGTGTTTTGTCCCCTGGAACATGTAAGTAGCCGGACAGAGAGGAGCGGGTTTGGTGGAGGTGGCAGCGGGCTGTAGGTCCCGCAGCCTGAGCTAGCTTAAAAACCAGCACCGTCGGTCAGGAAAGGCTCAAATTGTGGACGAAGCCATGGTTGGAGCCACCTGATAACGCTGTAGAGCTAAACGTGTGGTCTGAAACCACCTTAAAGGAACGGAAGTGGGGCATGTTGTCCGGGGTTAATAAGAGTGCAGGGTCACACTCGACCGGCCGGTGGCGAGCACCGGAGGCCGGGAGTGTAGCCCTGCCTGCGGCGGGGCTGAGCGGGGCGGTCAGCCCGGGCAGCGGCCGCCCCACCGGGACCCTCACCTCTCTGTTTCCTTACAGCATGGCGGTGAAGTCGGGAGAGGAGCGTCTGAAAGAGATGGAGGCTGAGATGGCTCTGTGAGTACTCCTTATGTCTTCAGACCTTGACATCAAGTTCCATGTCAACAAGTTTGTCTGTAGTTTGAAAGCTGCTTCAGTCCCTGACGGTGTTGTCCTTTTTCCATCAATGTCCCTGAATCTGCAGCTTTGAGCAGGAGGTTCTTGGCGGTGGAGTACCAGGAAGTCCGTCCGTCATGGAGCCGGTTCCTGTAGCTTTGGCCGTCCCAGCAGTGCCCATAGTGCGGCCCATCATCGGCACCAACACCTACAGACAGGTTTGTAGGTGGTGGAGAACACCTCCCCTTTAATGAGACCCAAAAGCTTTTGAAGGTCACGTCCAGTGTTCGGCCTCTGTGAAAGAATTCTCCCTGTCCCCTCCTCACTTAGGTCCAGCAGACCCTAGAGGCCAGAGCAGCCAGTTTTGTTGGTCCTCCACCACCAGCTTTCATGGGACCAGGTAATAAAAAGTCACCAGTGTGTTACCCGGCAGCACTCTGGCAGTGTGCTCCCCCACCAGGTCCCGTGGAGACCAGGAGGAGCTGCAGGACTTAGATTCATAGAAGCAATTAAATAGAAAGTGTTAAACTTCTTAATTCCTAGGTCCTCAATAGACAGAGCGAACAGAGTAACACTTTTAGAAGAATTACTTTTGTTGTTCGGTAGGAGGTGTTTCTACATCCTGGATCCAGTGTGAAGCTGACCTAATGTCTAAATGTCAGAGTGCCCAGCCTTTGTCCTTCAGGGCTGTCAGTGTTGCTTGTCTACCCTCATTTGGACCCAAAGCTAACAACTGTCATACTCCAAACATGGATCCAGTAGGAAAGTTGACCTGTTGTGCCCGCTTAGAGGCAGGACACTGTTGATGGAGAGGTGCTTCAGAGCCATGTGAGGCTCACTGAGCTCTGCCTTGTCCTCACCATCACTGTGTGTGTGTGTGTGTGTCTCTCCCAGTTCCTCCAGTTCGTCCTCCTCCACCCCCCATCATGAGACCGGCCTTCGTCCCCCACATCCTGCAGAGACCTGGTAGGCTCGCTGACTGAGTGGAGGCAGTAATGGCAGTGGCTGCTGGCTGAGTGTGAGGAGCAGGGCTGCTGTGTGCTGCTGAATCCAGAGCAGCCAGAAGATGAATGAGGGACATTTGGGTGGACAGAGAAGCACTTTGGCTGGAAGCTGCTCAGAGCCAGACTGAACTGATAAGCCAGTATAGAAAGTGGAGATGGAAGGTGTGTGTTAACTCTAGCTCTGTACCAGTAGGTCAAAGGATGCCGATGATGCGTGGCCCTCCAATAGCACCTCCTCTGCCCCGACCCCCTCCACCTCCTCCCATGATGGTCCCTCCCTCCCTGCAGGGTCCCATACCGCAGGGCCCCTCTCAGCCTATGCAGCACATGGCAGCGGGTCCTCAGGTAGGTGGGGGAGGCCAGATGGCAGCTTGTTCCAGAAGCTTTCATCTGCTCAGAGCATCTGTCTGATGCTCAGACTGATGCAGACTGATGCTCAGACTGATGCTCAGACTGATGCTCAGACTGATGCTCAGACTGATGCTCAGACTGAAGCAGACTGATGCTCAGACTGATGCAGACTGATGCTCAGACTGATGCAGACTGATGCTCAGACTGATCCAGACTAATGTAGACTGATGCTCAGACTGATGCTCAGACTGATCCAGACTAATGTAGACTGATGTAGACTGATGTAGACTGATGCAGACTAATGTAGACTGATGTAGACTGATGTAGACTGATGTAGACTGATGTAGACTGAAGTTCAGACTGATGCAGACTGATGCAGACATCACTGCTGGTTGTTTAGCTGCTCTCATTGCTCTGATGCTGGCTTTTGCTCTCAGGTAGGTGATATGGGCTCAATGGTGTCGAGCCCACCTCACAGACAGGGGCCTCTGCCCTCCATCAAGCCCTCCCCATCCATCATCCAGGCAGCCCCAACTGTGTACTCTGCTCCCAGTGTCTCTCAGGGGCAGAGGAGGGCGGATGTCCGGGCTCAGAGACAGGCCAGAATGGTATGTGCATTGTGCCCTCTAAAGGGAAAGCTTCCGATGGGGGGTGAAGGGGGGGGACGTGGGCTGGGGTGGCTGTGGGAAGGGCCTGTCTGTTGACCAACCCGACGGGGGGGGTCTGGATCTTCCAGGAGGAGCTGGCAGCCCGGGTTGCAGAGCAGCAGGCAGCAGTGATAGCAGCAGGTCTCCTGGACAAGAAGGAGAACGACGACAGCAGCACCGTGATTGGTCCCAGCATGCCGGAGCCGGAGCCCCCCCACACTGAGGTGAGTCTCCAGGTCTGAGGCTATGAGAAGCACAGGGGCGTCTGGTCAGAGGTTTCTTCATAGTGAGAGTACCCTGAGGGGCTCACAGCACCGGGGCAGCGTGGCTCTGTGCTCTGGGCCTGTAGCCGTCCACAGGAGCCCAGCGGGCAGGACCCGCTGACCCCCGCAGCAGGAGCTGTGCTGTCTGAGCCCAGGCCACCCCCACCAGGGCTAGCAACAGCCCCCACCGCGGCTAGCAACAGCCCCCACAGGTGGGCCTCATCCAGCAGGGTCATGCCACACAAACAATGCCCCACTGACTTCCTCAAGTGGTAAACTTCAGGAATAGCCTGATGAGTGAGACCTGCCTATAGAGGGACAACAGCTTCAGCTCACACACAGTTGCTTCACTCAGAGGACGACAGCCGGCCCCTCCAGCCTCCCGCTGACTCACACCCCCCATACGGCTTTTTGACTGGAGGCCATAGGTAGAGCTGAGGTCACCCTGAGCTTGGAAAGAGAGATGTTCAGCTGTAACCTTTAAAGGAGCCCGTCAGTTTGTCCTGGCTCTGCCTCCACTTCTGACTGGACACCGTCCAGGCTGAGCAGCCTGAGGCTGCTCCTCCTGCTGCCTCCATGCAGACGGCTCTCTGCTGCCTCCTCGTAGGTCCTGCCTCAGAGCAGGTTCTCTAGTGGGCGTGTGCAGGTAGATGACATAAACTTCATGTGATGGCCTTGAGGGTTCCCTGAGCCCGGCTCATTTTTCAGTCACAGGAAACGGATAGTTCTGTACAGCTGAATGTGATGAGTGTGTTGTGTGTGTTTTCCAGCCTGTTGAAAGTGCTGCAGAAGACAAGAAGAAGGGAAGGAATGAGAAAGTGAAGAAGTGCATCCGCACGGCCGCTGGGACGTCCTGGGAGGACGCCAGTCTGTTGGAGTGGAATCCAGGTAAAACAGCTCTAACCACCAGACAGTCCGTAGCAAAGGCCTCAGCTCTGTATCACTGTAGGTTAGCATTAACACAGGAGCAGGCAGAGCTGAGGTACAATACTTAAGAATCCCCATTACGTATTACAGCTGAGTAGAAGAAGAAGAAGCACTGGCATGCATTAAACCCAGTCTGGAAAAGGGCTTTACCGACAGTGAGCTGTGGTTTAACAGCCGTTCTCTACTGGTGCCACTGGTAGCTGCTCCTCCAGTCCAGTAGCTCAGCTGTGGTGGTGCTTTAGGTGGGATGTGCAGGGTCAGTGCTGGGCCAGCCCTAGCTGAGTGGACAGCCGTGCTGCGTGTGAACTCTGTTCTCCCTGCTTTACAGATGATTTCCGTATATTCTGTGGGGATCTTGGTAATGAGGTCAATGACGACATTCTGGCTCGGGCCTTCAGCAGATACCCGTCCTTTCTCAAAGCTAAGGTAGGGCTGTTCCTGCAACGGTCACTGCCTGCCCCCCCCATTTGATTACACACACACACCAACAGCCACGGGTCCCTGAACTCACACCCACAACTGGGTCTTCCTGAGTCCGTACAGAGCTTTTGATCTCACTGACACCCTAATGGTAGTGTGTGTGTGTGTGTGTGTATATGTGTGTGTGTGTGCGCACTCTGCTGTCTTCAGGTGGTCCGAGATAAACGCACTGGAAAGACCAAAGGCTACGGCTTTGTCAGCTTCAAGGATCCAAACGATTACGTCAGGGCCATGAGAGAGATGAACGGTGGGTTGTGCACGCTGGCTGCTGGCTGGCCAGCATTTCTCTGGCACACTGCAGAGCTGAGCCCCCATGGTGTCCCCCCCTCCTGTTTCTGTTCAGGAAAGTACGTGGGCAGCCGACCCATCAAACTCAGGAAGAGCATGTGGAAGGACCGCAACATGGAAGTGGTTCGTAAGAAACAGAAGGAGAAGAAGAAGCTCGGCCTCAGATAGTTTTTATAGTGTGTTTGTGTGTGTGTATGTGCTGCTCATCAGTAGACAAAGTACTGAGTGACAACTTCTTATTTTCATATGTCCCATGAAGAGAGGAGAAATGTATCTAGTGTTTTTCCTGTTACTGTAGTTCCTTTAATAAAACCACAGCTGTCACCTGCCTGTCCTGACTTATTGGAAATGGAACCTCGGCTGCTGTGCCTCCTCCAGTCCGGCCTCTTTCTATGGAACTAACTGGTTTCCAGACAGTAGGAGGTGAGTTCATTCAGCTGTCACAGACAGCCTCATCCAAAAGCCTCCAGGGTTTGGTGTGTGCAGGACGTCAGTCATTAATGTCCACTCCCTCCACCGTGGAACTCCCGGGCTCAGAGGCACTGCCCCAAATCAGGACGTCCAGAGCTGGACTCACTGGCACACGGAGTCACTAACAGAACACATTGTCCTTTACAACTGCTTTATTCACCATACTCTATTCATATCCATGTATGTTAGCCACAAGCAGAGAGCAGCTGGACGGTGGTGGGATCAGATGAACCTTCAGACCATCCACGATGTGAGGACCAGCTGCAGCCCCCGGTAGGCTTGTGCAGCACGTGTGTGGAAGAGAAAGCACAGCAGCTTCACAGCCGTCCCCATTTTCTGAGCTAAACATGTTAGGTGTCAAACCGCCGGCCCGGCTGGACAGCCCGGATGTTGACCGGTCCTGCTGGACACCATGTCCCGGAAGAGCAGCAGCTGAGCAGAAAAGGGCCTGCATGCAGCCGGTTTGTGGCATTTTCAAACTCCAGCGCCCAGCAACTCATCCACAGCTGTCCGTCCACTAAAGATGACATCATTCACCGAGACGCCGTCGAAGGAGGAGCCGGTCAGAGACAGAGAGAGGTTCTTCTCCTTTATGAAGCTGCGCATGGACTCTGCAGGAGGAGACAGACATCAGACGGCTGCACCGGCCAATCGCAGCTCTTCTGCTGTGACCACTACTCACCCACTCTCTGGAAGTGTCCCTGGTGGTACTGAGGGATGCAGTCCTGAGGAGACACAGAGCAGTCCACATCAGGACTACAATACTACAGACCAACTAAAGAAGAGTAGGCATAGTAGCAAATATTCTGTGGTAGAGACGGAGCAAAGGCTCCCTCTCATGGACGGGGCTCTGTGTGAGGACGGGGCTCTGTTTGAGGACGGGGCTCTGTCTCTGGGACGGGGCTCTGTGTGAGGACGGGGCTCTGTCTCTGGGACGGGGCTCTGGCCGAGGACGGGGCTCTGTGTGAGGACGGGGCTCTGTGTGAGGACGGGGCTCTGTGTCTGGGACGGGGCTCTGTGTGAGGACGGGGCTCTGGGGTACCTGGTGCAGTGTCACTTGGCTCCAGCAGGGGGCGGCGCTGACTCCCAGGTGGCTGCACACGGCCTCAGAGGCTCTTGCTAAAAGACACTCTGTCGTCACCGACTCTGGAGATCCAAACTCTTCCTGGAACCAGGCCCCGCCCATCATCACCTGAAAAACATGCGTGCAGGTCATAGTTGGAGCCCAGCCTCCTTCACCTGGACCCGGTTCTGCACAGTCACACGAGACCCAGCCCATGGGGACTGTCTTTCTCCTGGGTCTGTCACATGTTGCGGATATATGTCAAGACCCTATGCCACTAACTCTCATTTCCTTCACTAATAACGAGCTGTGTGTGTGTGTGTGTGTGTGTGTGTGTACCGTCAATCTGGTTGTCTGTCCATCAGGTCTGTTGTGTTGAGGAAATGGAACAGAATCGTAGACCACTCCCAGCAAACCTTTGTCCTCTGATGATGGAACCAGGTGACCAAAGCCCTAACAACAGCACACACTAGTTTAAAGACATCGAGGCATCAACAGAAGAGGAGCAGCCCTAACCCCAACCCTAACCCGACCCTGCCAGAGATGCTGATCAGCTAAAGCTGCCCCTACAGAGCTGGACGGAGCTGTCTGCAGTCGGTGCAGAACCCTCACAGCTGTGGGGCTGTAGGCCCAGACCCCCGGTGCACACAGCAAAGCTGTCCCCTCCTCCACCCATCTATGGTGGCCCTCCAGAGACACTAGCCCTGACCGGCTCAGCTCCCAGGAGGCGTGCTGCCCTCAGAATGTGAGCAGACCTGTCCTTCTGGTTGTGCCGGTCCTCAGGCAGCAGAGGAAGCACAGACACCAGTTCCCACTCTACATCCAGCGTCCTTTCAAAGCTCCCTGCCTTAAAAGGAAACTCCATCCCTTTCACACCACTGAGCCCCAACGATGTCCCTCGGGTCTCCACGCTCATGTTCCAGAGCTCCCAGAGGAGCATCTGCAGCAGGCGTGTGGAGGGGGGGGGGGCTAGCCTGAGTGTGGGGCAGCCCTTACCGTCACGGGCAGGATGGAGCCCTCGTACTCCAGGTTGACCACAGCCACGGTCACCGCAGAGATGCCCCGCAGCTGCTGCAGGAGGGGCTGGCAGGAGGGGGGCAGCACACCACACAGGGCTGAGGACACACAGCACAGGCCGGTCTGAGATGGACACCAGAGAGCAGGCACTGCCTAACCCCACCTAACCCTACCTAACCCCACCTAACCCCACCCACCGGCAGCAGGCAGCGCAGCGATCACGTGGTCAGCCGCCAGGACTCCGTCCTCCAGGTGGACCTAAACACACGGGCATTTTGATTGGAATCCCCTTCAGAGCCGTGTGGCTGCTCCCCATCAGCAGAGGCTGTGTGGCCCCCTCACCCACCGTCCAGCCGGAGGCTGAGGGCTGGACCTGTGTGACCCGCGCCTCTCTGTGCAGCTGCACCCTGCCGCTCTGCTGCAGCTGCTCCACCAGGGCCTCTGGCAGGGACTCCACCCCCCCCCTCAGAGACCACTGAGCCCACGACTCCTTCATGGCCCTCTGGGCCAAAGCTCCCGGGGCCACCTGGGGGGTGGGACCTGTGGGCGTCCAGAGGGTCAGCGTTAGGCTGACAGAGGCAGGAGTCAGCCAGAGCTGCAGCCTGAGCCCGCCTGGCCCCAGCGTGGAGCTCCAGCGTGGGGCCCCGGCGTGGAGCTCCAGCGTGGGGCCCCGGCGTGGAGCTCCAGCGTGGGGCTCCGGCGTGGAGCTCCAGCGTGGGGCTCCGGCGTGGAGCTCCAGCGTGGAGCTCCGGCGTGGGGCCCCGGCGTGGAGCCCCGGCGTGGAGCTCCAGCGTGGGGCTCCGGCGTGGAGCTCCAGCGTGGAGCTCCAGCGTGGGGCCCCGGCGTGGAGCCCCGGCGTGGAGCTCCAGCGTGGGGCTCCAGCGTGGGGCCAGGCGGGGCCCCGGCGGGTGCGTACCTGAGCCCAGCAGCAGGCCCAGCAGCAGGGAGCCTCGGCGCTGCTCTGCCCGGTGGAACAGCGGGAAGCAGGAGCGCACGCTCAGCTGCCTGCAGTCCCCCGCAAACACGCCCCGACACATGCTGTCCACCGCGATGTCCGCCAGCTGGAACACACACACACACACACACACGTCACTGGCAGGCCCCGCCGCGGGGCCCGCCGCGGGTCTGAGGGGCCCACGGCCGGCCTGCTGCCTCCTGGACTCACCTCCTGTCCCAGCCTCCTGGACACAAAAGAATGGATGGATTCATCCTCCTCTTTGCCTTTGCTGACCAGAATCTCAGAGGCAAGGTTGAACAGCAGGGGTCTGGAGAAGGGAGGGAGGGTTCGCAGCAGCCCCCTGAAAGAACCACAGACAGGACCATCACAGACAAGACCACCACAGACAAGACCACCACAGA